TACAATGTAAATGAAGTTTGAATAATTTAATTAGTAATATTTAAGTTATACAATACGAGTAAAAAAATCCATCTATATTGACCTCGATATTAACTTTGTTAAGTATCTAAAAATTCTCTTCCTATTAAATGAAAACAAAGTATTTTAATAATTTACTTTATAAAGTTACTTTGTAAAAACTGAGTGGAGTCTTTGCCTACTGTTTATTTTTTTTGAGACGTAACCTATCTAACGCCGTGCCTATGTTGTGTGACATGTTAACCAAAAAGCCTGAAAAAGAAGAAAAAACTCTTTTAATTCACTTGTTACAAAATGTATCTTATACCAGCCAAATAGCGATATCTTTCAGTAATTAACCTTTTGGAAAAAGCTGGAATCTAATGAACGATAAAAATAATCTATTTGCAGAAACGATGCTAAAGTCCACAACGTTTATGATCATCGATTTTGAAAAAAATATTTCGTCCAATTTATGAGAGACATTTTTTCAGATAAAGCCTCGTCTTGCATAATACAAATTTTTAAGCATATTTATTTTGTTCAAATAACATAATAATGATTTACGTGTTCTCAATTATTATTTTCATTCGTATTTATAAAAATAACTATAACAATAAAATATTTATGGTTAGTATATGTTAAGAAATGACCTTGTCAGCACCAATACTTGTATTTCATTTTTTTCAAATTATTTGTCAAGGTTAGACTATAGTAACAATCGTTAACCCTCGGAGCACACACCTCTTTTTTCGAACAAGTAGCACAGTCTGGGTCGCTGTGACCCTCTTTACTTTACAAAACTCCCCCATTTTTGAACTATTGGACTGATCAACACAAAAAAAATATTTTTTTATTTATTGAACCTTGTAAAATAAAAATATGCAGTTTAGAAATATTATTAAATTATTTGCATATTGAAAAAAAATTCGTGAAGTTAACTAATTAAAAAGAAAAAATTGAATTTAAAAAAAAATGTAACTTTTGTAATTTTTAATATTTTAAGCTAAAAATTGGGATTTATATTCTCGAAGTGTGTTAGAATAAGGGAAAAAATACCACCTTATTTTATTTTTTAAAAAAGGTATTTATTTTGTAGTTTAACGAAGGTAACTTTTAAGACGATAAAAATGTGATTTTCGACACAACTTTTTAAAACTATACTTTTTTAATAACATATTTACTAGTATTTTATTATTTTCTTTGGATTATCATGTTACTTATTATTCCTTATTAGTTAGTTACCACTATATGGCCTGAGGTTCGTGTTGTATTGCCGACTTTTCAAATTATACTTCATTGAAATTAATGACAGGGTCTGTGTGACCCAGTATGTGCTCTGAGGGTTAACCTGATGATATAAGGGTAACGGGTACATTAACCGACACCCATGGTATAAACATTTCATAATTACAATCTATTTATTGAACAATTTAAATTAAAAATGTCCAGGAAAAATCCAGGAATATAAAATCGGTCATCGAAAGTATGAGAGAGGTCGAGTAGTGGAGGGTGCATGGATCCTTGGAATGATCCACAGAGGACACTCTTCCAACTATCGGTTGGAAATCTGTCCCGACAACAAACGAGACAAGGATACTTTAATAAGTTTGATTAAAAAACAATTTTGTTGTCAGAACAGAGATCCACACTGATTGTTGGAAGGGCTACATTGATTTAGAACAGTGTGGCTATGTTCACAAAACTGTGAATCATTCTGAGGAATTCGTAGACTCCACTACTGGTGCCCATACTCAAAATATTGAATCGTTTTGGAGATGGATGCGACGATCTCTTAGCAAAGGAGGTGTTCGCAAGAATAATCTTGCAGATCACATTTGTGAGTTTTTGTGGGGCGAAGAGTTCGCAAATTAAATGCTGATGCATTTTCACAATTAATTTCGGAGATCAAGCATTGTTACCCTGGCCACAAAAAACTTTAAAAAATTGGCACTTTTCTCAATCGGCCTTTTTCAAGGCCCCAAAACGTTGTACTTTGCAACATAATATCAATCGGCCTTCTTAAAGGCCACCAAACAGTTGTATTTTGCAACATAATATCAATCGGCCTTTTTCAAGGCCACCAAATCCTTTTTTCTGCTTATGTCGGAAAATATTCATTACATAAAAAAATGTATAGTACATAAAATATGTACTTTAATGAGATCTGTAACTTTAATACAAACTTTTTAAAAAATTTAGCATATTTTAAAAGATAAACACAAAAAACCATGATTTTATGCTGTTTTTGATCATATTTTGGATTTTTCTCGAAAAATAATGACTTCTGGGAAAAAATGCATAAAACATAAAATGTGTGTTTTTTGAGATCTACAACTTTTGTCTAAAACTTTTTTCGAAATTTTTTGTTTTTTACGAGATAATCGCAAAAAACCATGATTTTATGGTGTTTTTTATGGTTTTTACCATGATAATCAAATTTGCGCCAATTTTCACTATCATTTTCGTAATCAGCGCACCAAAATACGTTAGTATACCAAGTTTCATTAAGATCGGAAGTACCCCTACTTCGGAAGTATATTTTTTTACGCAGAAAACCTTAAACTTTTAGATAAAAATTATTTTTTAAAAAATATTAATTTTTGAACAATTTGTTTAAAAAATAAAATTTGTTTATAACTTTCAAACATGTTCTCCTTCATTTTGAAGCGCGAAAAAAATCATGAATATTGTTTAAGTCAGAATAAATCGATGGTTAAATTTTTGAGATGGCATTATTTTTTGGTTTCGAGATATTAATCAGAGTGTCTACTATTTTTCAGTCTTTAAATTCCCGAATTTTTTCCGGTTTAAGATATAAAAATTTTTCTCACTACAAGTATATTATGAAGCAAATAATATCTTTAATATTAATGTATAACTGATAATAATTTAATAATAATGTTAATAAATAAGTTTAAAACAAAATTTTAAAGAAACTAAAATTTTTTTTTGTTTTTAAAATAACACAGTTATATTGTCAGAAAATAATTGTACTTGTGAAATACACAGGACTTTACATTATAATTTATTTAATTTTAATACCATATACTGTATCGATTCAACCAACCACTTTTTTGTATTTCACATTAACTCTGAGAGTGTACGATATACTGATCTATGGTACAGTTCACGGAGAAAAATAGTTAGCTATTTAGCTAAAATTTAGTTACCTTAGCTAACCCCAATTGCTAGTAAGGGGGAAAATAGGTGTAGGACGGCGTTTTTGCAGACTTTCATGAATTTTTTTAACACATAAGGAATTTATATAATTCATTGCTATTGTGAGGTTACTTTATACACCTATTTAAAAGTATATTCTGTTAATTTTCAAATATTTTTTCACCAAAAATTAATAATAATATCTGCTGCCGCACATTGCAGGTCGCGCATCCTCTCAGAGGTTGGGACATCTAAATTTTTATCTGAAATTAATTATACAAAGAATATACTTTTTTATGTATGTATTTTCTATGTGAACCTCAATTCCATAAAAAAAAATCATTACTAATTTTTGGAGAGGTGTGAACAAAAAACATGGTTTTTTTACCATTTTTTATACTTTTTTTTATAACAAAAACCAAAATTAAACAAAGATATTGTCTAGGATTGAGGTTTACATAGAGCTTATTTATATAACGAAACTACATGCCAAATTTCAGAATGATTGACTAAAAACATTTTGAGCTAGAGTGTACACAATTTCGAAAAAAATCATTTCGAGAAAAACGTGTTTGAAAAAAAGTGTCAGAAAAAGTAACCCCTTGAATCACGCAATTCGGAAATAATCAAAATGATTCAAACAGTACAGTATACTAGGTCGGTAATCCTGGAAGTACCACATCAACAAAAAAAGGTTTTTACATATGCTAACATTAAAGGCACAATTAGGGCGAATTTAGTACCACATGCAAAAATTTAGGACCCTTTACTTATTTAAAATAACTTTTGGTACTACTAGTTTGAAGTCAAGCTGGAAGTACCACACTATAGAACCTAAATATTTTTCAAAATTTCTTTCATAGGAATTTAAGGCTCTCAACTGGGACAATTTAAAAAATTTTAAAACCACAAAAAACTACCCTCAACTAGTTAAAACTCAATATTTTCAAAAACAAACACATACGCATTTAAAGCTAATTTAGGGCTCTAAACTATAATTAAATTGGTTATTCAAAAATGATACACCAACTTCAGAAACTACTGCGGAGTAGTTCAAACTTATTTTTTTCAGTAACATATACTTAGAAAGGGTATAGGGGGTTAAGGATACAAAAAGTGCCGTTGCAGGTATTCTGTTCAAATTGACACCATATATTGGTACCCCTATGAATACAAAATTCTGCAAGTATGAACCCATAATTCGAATTTTTGGGGGAGTTATGGTGGGGGAAAGGAAAATAAAGAAATCCATTTTTCTCGAAAACTACTGAACCGATTTTAATGAGCTTTAAATATGTTATACATGTCGCTAAGACAATTCTAAAAAAAAAATCTCAAAATTTTTTTTTGAAAAAAAGTCAAAAAAAATTAATTTTGAAATTTTCAAAAATTTTTTTTGGGGTGATTTTTTGAAGTGACCACTTTAATTTTTTTTAAAAAGTTACCTTATAATATCACCTTTAACATATATTTTTTTCAGATTTTTAAAAAATGTAGTTTTTGAATAATTTAACGAAAACCATCGTCGCGCTACATGACGCAGCGCGCACAGTGTGCTGATGCAGTATATTAATATGAGGTCTTGTCATATTTCGTTATAGTTTTATTAGCGGCCGGGCTTAGGCAAAATATTACGCTACATGAAAATTTTATGTATAATAATATAAAAAATATCATTCAATTTTTACAACAATCTTTTATTGTTGTCATTATGATAATTCACTTTCTGTTTTTACGGTCAGGCGAACATTTGATTATCAAGTAATTCGTCTTATAACACTATCTTTGTTGTTCTGAAACAAATCATATTTTTCATATTCCCATTGTATCATATTTTGAAAATGAATCAATCATTTACAATAAGAGAAAAGTGTCCTGGTTGCGACTGTCTTTTAATTCACAGTTCAGGCAGAAAAAAACAAATAGAAAATGCACAGGAAGCAAATAATTATTCCATTTCATTGCAGCGAGCAATTTTTGTTGATGATATTATTTGTCAAAAATGTAGACTTTCTATTTATAGAAAAAAGAAACCTGAACAGAGCTTTGACTTAAATACCGAAATTGATGTCCCTGAGTCAATGGACAGTGATCCCACCTTTGAAATAGTCGAATCAAATGTATCAACTTCTGAAATTGAACGTGTAGAAGTTTTAGTTCAGAGAACGATTTCCGCACATAATTATTGTTGTTTTTGTAGTTCTAAAAAAGATCTACGTGTCATTCCTGAGGAAACTCGAATTCAATGTTATATTAAAACTCAAATTTACATTCCATCTGGGAATCGATGTTGCCGTGCGCACTTTTTAAAAAATAGAATTTATGAAGAAGATCTTGTTCTCCTGATAGCTTATTCTAACACTACCAGTCTTACTGCATCAGAATTATCAAAGATAATGGGGACTCTTTCTGTTAGGTGTGATTCGACGTTACTTGACAAAGTGGGTGAATACACTCTTTCCGAAAAACAACTCAAAGTTTTCACAGGTTTAAACTGGGAACAACTTAATGAGTTGAAAGATATGTTGACTTCATTGCGAAACAGTCAATCCCGTTCTGTGATTCAGGCTCTTGTTGTCTTTTTGTTAAAATTAAGATCAGGAAACTCTAATGCAATGATTGCTTCTATTTTGCAATTGAAAAATGAGCATGATGTTTCCGATTATTCGAACAGCGTAATGAAATCCTTTGAAAATGATGTTTTGCCATTCCGTTTTGGTATAAATTCTGTCAGTAGGGATGAACTCATCCAAAACCATACAACGGAAATAGCAAAGCTACTATTCGATGCTCATGACAAATTGTTTTTGATCTGCGACGGCACATATGCTAGGCACCAAAAAAGTACCAATAATGAGTACCAAAGGAAATCGTTCTCTGGTCAGAAGAAAGTCCCTCTTTGTAAGCCGTTTACAATTTGTACGACAGACAGAATTGTTGTAGATATGCTTGGACCATATCTTGCTAACCAAAATGATGCCCAGATTTTAGAGTCCATAATTGACGATCATGAAAGTTTGCCTAAGATCCTTAATGAAGGTGACATTTTTGTTCTTGACCGCGGTTTCCGTGACATAAAAGGAAAACTTGAAGAAAAAAAATTCCAGGTTTTGATGCCTGCTTTAAAAGGAAAAAGGAAACAGCTAACAGCTGAAGAATCTAATGACTCTCGGTTTGTCACCAAAATTCGATGGCCTGTAGAGTCAGTTCATGGTGTCATCAAGCAAAAGTATACTCTTCTCGATCATAAAATCGATAATAAGTTACTGCCAAAGGTAGGACTGTACTTTAGAATTGCTTGCTTCCTGAATAATACATTTGGCAAAAGATTGCAATCTGACGTAGATTCATTCAATGACATACTTCAAAGGATGCAAAGTCAAAAAATTGTGAAGTTTACTTTGCCTGATGAAGTAGAAAAAAATGGATGGCTGCGCAAGAAACTGCCTTTTGGAACCATCACGTCAAATGATCTCACAGATTTTCCAGAATTAACGGAAAATGAGTTAAAAATTCTATTCACAGGGACCTACCAACTTTCTCAGGCCGTTTCTTATTTAGCAGAAATGCTTGACAAAGATGGCAATCTGAGAATGGAATTTGTTAAAGACAATTCTAGTGTTTTAAAGATTAGAGTTCAATCCCGTCATATTTCTCGCCAAACATATAGGTGTTTTATAAAATATGCACCAAACAGTATCGGAATTTCTTGAGTAAGAGAATACACATGTGAATGTGCCAATGGAAGGAGAACTGTCGGCTGTTGTTCCCACATTGCTGCAATTGTTTATTTTTTATCACATGCACGTTATTTGGCCAGAATTATCAAACCAGCTGAAATTTTAACTGATATGTTCACAAAAACAAAAGTAATTCCAGTAATTGAATCTGACAGTGACGAAGATTAAGAAAATATTTTTAGAATTAGTAATTAGTTAAGTGAGAGGCGAGGGAACTCACACCCAAAAACTCCAGAAAAAGTTTTAAACTACAAATGATTTTTTGTAAATATTTTTGTAAATAGTAGGATTAGTTTAGTGAGAGGCAAGGGAACTCACCCTAAAGAAACTCCCGAAAAAGAAGTTTAAAACTAGAAATGTTTTTTATATATACTTTTTGTAAATAATAGAATTAGATTAGTGAGAGGCAAGGGAACTCACCCTAAAAAACTCCCGATAATGGAGTTCAAAATCGTACTGCAACCTCCACGTGGTGAACTCTGTAAACTATTTTTTAGGCTAACTGCAGACGTCTCCACTATAAATAAATATATTATAATATGCAATATAAACAATGTGACATTGTTCATATTTCACCATGTATCCGCAGCAATATAACTTTTCTCCTAATGGAGTTCATTATTATATGTATACTGCATCAGCACACTGTGCGCGCTGCGTCATGTAGCGCGACGATGGTTTTCGTTAAATTATTCAAAAACTACATTTTTTAAAAATCTGAAAAAAATATATGTTAAAGGTGATATTATAAGGTAACTTTTAAAAAAAAATTAAAGTGGTCACTTCAAAAAATCACCCCAAAAAAAATTTTTGAAAATTTCAAAATTAATTTTTTTCTACTTTTTTTCAAAAAAAAATTTTGAGATTTTTTTTTTAGAATTGTCTTAGCGACATGTATAACATATTTAAAGCTCATTAAAATCGGTTCAGTAGTTTTCGAGAAAAATGGATTTCTTTATTTTCCTTTCCCCCACCATAACTCCCCCAAAAATTTGAATTATGGGTTCATACTTGCAGAATTTTGTATTCATAGGGGTACCAATATATGGTGTCAATTTGAACAGAATACCTGCAACGGCACTTTTTGTATCCTTAACCCCCTATACCCTTTCTAAGTATATGTTACTGAAAAAAATAAGTTTGAACTACTCCGCAGTAGTTTCTGAAGTTGGTGTATCATTTTTGAATAACCAATTTAATTATAGTTTAGAGTCCTAAATTAGCTTTAAATGCGTATGTGCTTGTTTTTGAAAATATTGAGTTTTCACTAGTTCAGGGTAGTTTTTTGTGGTTGACTATCTATCACTTACTTGGCTGGGGTGGTTGGCGTGCACTTTTAAAAAGTCAATTTAGTGCTACACATTGAGGAACCCTAATTTAGCTCTTCATTCCTATATGATTATTGTTTGATTAAATTGAGTTTAAATAATTGGGGATGTTTTTTTGTACGTAGGGGTGGTTTTTAAAAATTTTAAATAGTCCCAGTTGTGAGCCCTAAATTCCTATGAAAGAAATTTTGAAAAATATTTAGGTTCTTTAGTGTGGTACTTCCAGCTTGACTTTAAGCTAATACTATCAATGGTTATTTTAAATAGGTAAAGGGCCCTAAATTTTTGCATATGGTACTAAATTAGCCCTAATTGAGCCCTAAATGTTGGCATATGTACGATTCCAGGTGAGATTTTGACTTTTTCGGAGTAGGTTAACCGATTGCAATGAAACTTTGGAATTTTGTTATACATAGTAAAACTAATCTTTAACGTAAATTTCAGCTTAAAATATTTGTTAGTTTACGAGATTTGCAATAAAAACAAAAAATTTTAAACTGCTATATCTTCCGTTCTAATAATCGGATTGAGGTCTACTTTTTTTTAAATGCCAAGGAAAATGAGAGGAATAAATCTCTTTCAGAACAATTTTTTATAATTTTACAACTAAAAAAATCATTAAATAATAATTGAATAAATTTCATTCGTGGACAAAATTGGCTACGTGAGAATTCTGCGTGCACAATGTCGTCTGCACGTCAACTAGCAGAAATCGCAATTATTTATATTCGTAAATTATTATAATTAAATAAGTTAAACTTGCATTTACAATTGGATTCCTTTGGAACATTAAAGAAAACACTGGTAAGATCATTTTAGCGTTTAAGTGATTGAATTTTAGATTGTCGCGTGAAATTTATTCAATTATTATTTAATAATTTTTTTAGTTGTAAAATTATAAAAAATTGTTCTGAAAGAGATTTATTCCTCTCATTTTCCTTGACATTTTTTAAAAAAAAGTAAGTAGACCTCAATTCGATTATTAGAACGGAAGATATAGCAGTATAAAATGTTTTGTTATTATTGCAAATCTCGTAAACTAAAAAATATTTTAAGCTGAAATTTACGTTAAAGATTAGTCTTACTATATATAACAATATTCCAAAGTTTCATTGCAATCGGTTAACCTACTCCGAAAAAGTCAAAATCTCACCTGGAATCGCACATATATAAAAACTTTTTTTGTGGAAGTGGTACTTCCAGGATTACCGACCTCAGTATACTATGTTTTCGGGGTCACTGATTACGAATCTGAGGTCAGTTTTTAAAAATTCAAAACGCCGAATGCAATATGGCATGTTTTTTGCCCTAGCGCGCTCTGACCCATTATAGGACACTCACTTAATTGTTTATAACTTTTAAACGGCTCGATATTTTCGTTTGAAATTTTCAGAATATATTTTTCAGTAGTTTTACAATCAATTTATGAAAAGAAAAAAAATTTAATTTTTTGAAGCTCTATACCTATTTCCCCCCATAAAAGGATTGAAATTATTGTTAGCTAATACAGCTATTAATTAGCTTCCATAGCTAACATGTTTTGATATGGAAGCTAAATATTAGTTACCAGAACTAAAAATTCGCTATCCATTTAATAGCAAACTCATTTTTCTCCGTTTTCTTACATAGCACACGATTTGATAAAAATTTTATTAAATTTATCATTTTAGGTATTTTATTTCTTGACTATTTCCCGGTTTGTTTTTCGTTTCCCGGTTAGTTCCCGGTTCGTAGACACTCTCTTAATTAATTAACTAAGAAAAGTTAATAAAAAATGAAATATTTTACGAACAAATAAAATTAGAATAGTTTTAAAAACCCCACTCTAATGCATATCGAAATCCGCATCCAACGAGCCCTATATGAACTATTTCGGATAAACGGGTGTTGAATTAATAATTACTAATAAAAATTATTTAAATAATTAATAACATTTGAAGGAATGAAGATAGGGACGCATGAATATGTTCTAAAAATCATTAGTTAGAATTTTCATTTTATGGAATTTCATTTGTCAATACTTTAGGCCCCTTTTTGAAGGTTATGTATTTCTAAATGTAATTTAATTATATGCATGTGATTTAATTACTAAGTTAAGAGATATATATTCTGAAATTGTAAATAAAAATATTTTTCAAAAAATCGTAGCAAATGACATACTCAACATATTTAACTATGAATTTTATGATATTGAAATAACATACTTCAGTTATAGGGAAATATTCAAAATATAATACATTACTCATTAATAACTATATATTTAAAGTAGATAAAAAAATTGATAGCAAAATACCTTTCTTTTTCTGTTAGTTTTTCTTGATGCAAACTGTCAAAACTACATAATAAACAAACAAAAAAACATATCAACTACATTTGTTTATCACCATTTGTTTACATTCAGAAACACAAAAAAAATCTTCGCTCACATGGTACACCCCAGGGCTGAGAACAAACACTATAAGCTGCTTCTACAACATCTTTCTTTTTGTTGATAATTCTTAAACGGAACGTATCGCAATCGTAACGGACAAATGAGTTAGAGAAGGATGAAGATATATGCTGTCGTTCTCTATCTCTAAAGGCCTTTCTCCAATAGGAACCTAAACTTTTGCGTTGCGTGACTGACGCGTTGATTTTAGAATTGGTTGCCAATAGCAACCGACGCAATGCATACGCAACGCAAGAGTTTAGGATCCTATTGGAGAAAGGCCTTAAGGCCCTTTCCAGAATGGAGCTAAACGCAACGCATCGCAATGCTAAGGTCCATTCCACAATAGCTAAACGCAAAGTTAAAGCGCACGTAAAGATGACGCGCGCGTTGGTTCTAACCAACCAAACCAACGAGCGCGTCATCTTTGCGTGCGCTTTAACTTTGCGTTTAGCTATTGTGGAATGGACCTAACCAACCAAACCAACGCGCGCGTCATCTTTGCGTGTGCTTAAACTTTGCGTTTAGCTATTGTGGAATGGACCTAAGGCTGCAGTCGCATGGCAGCGTTTTGCGTTGCGTTTTGTCACTAGACCCTGAGTGTAAACATAGCAAACATATATCTGCATCTCTTTTACACTCATGGTCTAGTGACAAAACGCAAAACATATATCTGCATCTCTTTTACACTCAGGGTCTAGTGACAAAAAGCAACGCAAAACGCTGCCATGGGACTGCAGCCTAAGCAAATGGGGATGCGTCGCGTTTGCGTTTAGCTCCATTCTGGAGAGGGCCTTAGAGCCTGTCCAGAATAGACCAAAAACGTGAACGTAACGTATCCATTTAATACGGAAGCTTCTATGCGCCACCTCGTAACGAGGCGAAACCAACTTAGGTCGGAGTTACATGTTTATGTAAATGCAGAATGCAAAACCGAAAATAATGAGAGAGGATAGTGATATATCCCTGTCCTTTTCACTCTCATTATTTTCGGTTTTGCATTCTGCATTTACATCAACATGTAAATCCAACCTAAGTTGGTTTCGCTTCGAGGTGGCGCATAGAAGCTTCCGTTTAATAGTGTGTCTCCAATTAGGCTGTGTCAGTTCATCGAGATATTTCGAGTTCAAGAAATGACGTAAGAGGCCTGGAAGGACACAATGTTATTCTTATGGGGAAGAAAATTTGTTTCCACTTTCACCAATTTTATTCATACTTTAAACATGGAAAACGCTTGTTGACATTATAATAAAATTAAAATGTGTGTTGATAATTAATTTTGTTATATATTTGATTCAATTGCATTGATAGATTCTCTCAATTCGTGATAAAATATAAATTTTGAGGTTAAGGGTGTTTGTTTACTAATCACATTTTACATTTTAACAACATTATTAAACAATATCCAGTATGCATGTTATTAAAAAGATATAAAATATATATTTTAAGTGGGAATTACCACAGCAGTAAAAGATTTCAAGTTAGTAAACAAACACCCTTAACCTCAAAATTTATATTTTATCACGAATTGAGAGAATCTATCAATGCAATTGAATCAAATATATAACAAAATTAATTATCAACACACATTTTAATTTTATTATAATGTCAACAAGCGTTTTCCATGTTTAAAGTGTAAATAAAATTGGTGAAAGTGGAAACAAATTTTCTTCCCCATAAGAATAACACTGTGTCGTCTGTTTGTTGTCCCTCCAGGCCTCTGACGTCATATCTTGAACTCGAAATATCTCGATGAACTGACACAGCCAAATGAAGTTGAATTTTTTTAATATCTCGCTTAAATGAAATTTGAACCTAAGTGTATTAGGATTTTAGTTTCTGTTTTTAATAACCTATTTAATACAATAATAAAAAACGATTTTATTTATTAATAAATTTTATTATTGCATTAAATAGGTAATTAAAAATGGAAACTAAAATCCTATCCAGTAAAAAAAAAAGAATTGGGAGTATGCGATAAGAATTGGTGGTAACTTAAGCTGAATTCGATTTGGCGAAAAAACCGAATTGGAACGTTACGGTGAATTATTTTTTTCTTACCGTGAATTCTTTTTTCTTAAACATTTGAATTGACGTTCGTTTATTCGAGTTTGCATTATAAATGAATAAAATAAATGCTTCGAAGTCTAAAAAAGCCGATTTGAAATAAGAAATATATAATTTAAAAAAAATAAATGAAAGCGAAGTGTGACAGATTCACCGACGATTTTATCAAGTGAGTAGTGTTCATATGATAAATTTACCATATAAGTAGTACTCACATGGTAAAATTGTCGGTAAATCTATCACATTTCACTTTTATTTTTTTTTTTAAATTATATATTTCTTATTCCTAATCGGCTTTTTTAGACTTCGAAACATTTATTCTTATTCATTTATAATGCAAACTCGAATAAACCAACGTCAATTCAAATGTTTAAGAGAAAAGAATTCACGGTAAGAAAAAAATAATTCACAGTAACGTTCCAATTCGGTTTTTTCGCCAAACCGCATTCAACTTAAGTTACCACCAATTCTTTTCGCTTACTCCTAATTCTTTTTTTTACTGGGTAATACACTTAGGTTCCAAAATTTCATTTAAGCGAAATATTAAAAAAATTCGACTTCATCCCGTACATTTCTTATGTTTGTTTGCAGTGATGGGTACGTATAATACGTGGTTTTCTACGTGTATAATACTACGTAAATTACGTGCCAAGTTTTCTACACGATGTATATTACATTTGATCACGTGATTTAAGAGCGGAAATTTTAAATTCTTCATTAAAATACATCATTCATTACTTTACACTATTGAAAGAGAAAGTTGTTAAGATAAACAAAATTTAGGTAATTATTAATTATTTTAACAATTATAAAACAAAATTTTTAATTATTGAAATGTTTTTATATCGGTTGTATTTCTAAGTTGGTTTCACAGATAAGAGTGAGCACCGGACCACGTGCATAATAACATAACCTATATTCTAAGTATTATATTGTCAGTCTAGTCGTTTGGTATCTCCCAAAATAAACAATTTTTAAATAAAAACTTTATAAACAATAACAAACAATAATAATACGCTTATATCCAGTGTTTTTCATAATGTTTTGACAAATTAAACATTTAGCAACATTTTTATCAGTGCCTAGCTCTTTCATCCGCTCAAATTCCATTTTTTCCCAGGGCAAACCCTCTTTAAAAGATTTTCTTTTACTTTTTCTGACCATTTCTATTTTATTTTAAGACTTTAATTTAAATAGAATGATAAGAAAAATTCGTTATGGCAAAAATCAGAGGATCATATAGATGTCAAAATGTCAGTGTTTTTTTATACATTTTATACGTATATTACGTCGAAAACGTATTATACGTACAAAACTTCGTGTGACGCGTCACAACCCATCACTGTTTGTTTGTACACCGCTTAATCGCCATTTTGGATTTCCTCCCACCCAACTTGAATAACCTGATTTCTCTACGCTTTTCTATACAAATGTCAGCTGTCAATATCCACTGTTTGGTGTAAATACGGTGTAGTTTATAAGAAATTGAAAAATTTTACTGTTAACAATTTTAAAAAACTTTGTGCATTTTAAAATTCATTAAATTAGTGATTTTTTTAATAATTATTTTTATACAATGGGCAATGCTGATACTAAATTAAATTTTCGAAAAGCTGTTGTTCAACTTACATCTAAGTCACAGGTAATAAATGAAATTAAATAGAAAAATACAGCACATATTTTTTTATTAAATATTATTTTCCGTATTTTATTAGTTATCAAATAATTTTGTCTATTTACAATAAATTTAAATAGGAAATCGAATAAACAATAAAGAACATTTTTTTATTTATAATGAAGTATGAATAAGAAAATTTACTTAATCTTCAATGTATCTTATTGCTTTTGTATTATTTTATCTAAATAAATTAAATTTTTTAAAATCAATGTTTTTCATTCAAATTCAGTATGTAGAATTCATCTTAACCTTAAAAATGAAACCTTTCTGCATTCTGTTTCTTAGATACCTTTGAGACTATATTTTTTTAAGTCTGTTAATAAAATAATAATGAAATTTATCAGAATTATTAATCACTATTCTCAATCTACGTTTTCATTAATAATCAGATTAAATATTAATTTCATAATTATTTAATTTACAAATTAAGGCAAATGACACTTTTTTCGTCATACTTATATGTGAAATAATAATAATAATATAACTTCATGAAAATAAATAGCTTGTAAACTATTCAAACTTAGACATATGGAAAGTATAAATCTTTTTTAAAATGCTTCCAGAAAATATTATTGTGTTCGGAATTTCTAAACAGTGTTTGTTAAATAGAAATTTGTCAGAAATTTTATTAAAAATACGTCTTTACAATGATTTCTCGTTTTTTTTTTATTAAATTCTTTTTTTTAATAATTTCTAAAATTATTTATTTTTACAAAAAAAAAGAATAATCAATATTTTCTTCAAATTCTCGTTTTTTTATTAATTTTTCAACCAATTTTTGAAATTATTAAAATTATCTATTTTTTTTCTTTTCTAAGATTTTCTATTTCCTTATTTATTTATTTATTTTTCTATTTTCCATTATCTTTTAATTTTTGAAATTGTTGCGTTTTTAATTTTTCCTTTTAATTCTTTTTTGAAATTTGTGTGGGAAAAAATTTTTGATTACAAATATTTTAAAAAAAATTATAAAAAGTAGTGGAAGTGAAAGTTTTGACGTTTTAAGTGACATTGGCATTTTCAAAATCACATAACAATCTCAAAATTTTATGAATTTTAATTTTCAAACAGGAAAATTTGAAACATTTTTCATGAACTTTTTAATAAAAAAAAATTGTTTTTCAAAAAAATTTATAACTCTTTTTTTCAAAATTAAGTCTTACTTGCCTTAAAAAAATCGAATTTAAAAAAAAAATTTTAATTTATTTTAGAAAGTTAACTATAAAAATCATTTAGAGTCAATTGAGGTAAATGGGGATAAAATCTCTATTTTTCACAAATTACGTAAGTTTTTTCTTTTAAAAGGTAATATTTTCGGGTTTATTTTTTTTAAAGTTATTTACATTCCCAGAATTAATTTTATGCAATAGAAAAAAATTTAGATAAGCTTTAAATGCATGAAACTGACTGTCCTCATTTACCCCAAGATTTAGAAAATTTTATAAAATTGAGGGATGAGCATGAGGCACAGCATAGTTTCTAGAAAAGGTTTAAGAAAAAAGTTTCCTTAAATATATATATATTAACCAATTGAATTTTTTTTTATTTTTTTTTTATTTCAGTATTTTGTCTCGCATTTAAAAAAAACAGACTTAAAAATCATACAAAAATTATTTCTTATTCCTTATGACTCCTATAACAGAAATTCACTTGAATTTTTGATTTTTGTCAATTTGGTTAATAATAACAGGCTGTTTCCATTTACCCCAAAAATTTGAAAACTGAGGGTAAATGGAAACAGCTTGTTATTATTAACCAAATTGACAAAAATTAAAAATTCAAGTGAGTTTCTGTTATAGGAGTCATAAGGAATAAGAAATAATTTTTGTATGATTTTTAAGTCTGTTTTTTTTCAAATGCGAGACAAAATACTGAAACAGTTTGACTTTGATTTTAAAGTTTTTATGCATTGAGCGATAACTTGAATTATCTTGCTGCCAATTGTCAAGATAAAAGCTTGACAATACTCCGAACCTCTTACAGGTGATCTGAGTTTAAAATATTGACGTTGAACTTAATTTTAAAACTGTAAATTGAGCTCCAACACCTCTTGTCCCCAAATTTTATTAGATATCATTATTTTCTAGGCAAATTTTTATTTTTCGAATTAGCATTTAAAAGAATTTTTTATAAATAAATTTTTACTTAACAGAATTTTTAAGTACCGAATTTTTATTTGTCAGAATTTATAATTCACATAATTTCTATTTATCCAACTTTTTATTGAAAATAATTCTATAATATGTTGGGCAGTCTAGCTCGAACAGTTTTGATCGGATTGACTTCAGCCAAAGTTTTTTTTGATCGTTATTTACTAACTAATGCTTTAGAGTACGTAGCGGATTTTTTATTAATTTGTTTGGTTTTTTTGGCAATAGATTTTTTGAAAAAATTTCGCCCTAAAAATCGACTTTTTCCTTTAAATAGCTGCCAAACCCACAAAAATTAATATTTTTAAAATATCCTACGTACTCTAAAGCTAAATCTATCACAGATTTAGAAAAAATTTGAATTTTTGTTTTATATTAAACGGTCTAACCGGAATCTTGCCCACCGATTTGCCCTGCAGAGAAACGAGACCAACTTTAGCGGCATCTATAGTCAAAAAGTTAACAAATAAAGTTCTCTAAACCAAATTTTGATTACTTTATTCCTGTGACTTAAAAAAATTCATGAAAAACAGATTCAAAAGAGACCTCAAAGGTGTCACTCCCCCTTAAGTGAAAGAGATCCTAGTGGCCAAAAAAATTTTATTATGAAAAATAAAAAAAGCAAAAATTTTGCTTTTAAACAAATTATATAAACAAAAAGCACTATCAGGCCCACTCCGAAATTTATTACAAAATTTTCTTATTATTATCATGTAGGTACGTAAAAATAAAAAATTATAAAATGTTTATAAAAAACTCAAATTTTTTTTCGTTAACATATTTTAAAAGTTGATGAAAAAATTGAATTTTTTTGTATTTTGGCCATTATTCCTAAATTCAAAACTTTTAGAGTTAGATGTCATTGAAGTTGAAAACTCGACAAACCAGATTTTAAAAAATTCATAACCCGTAAAGAGCACTTATAAAAAAATTCGTTAACGGATTTTTTCTATAATGAACGAAAAAAAATATATTTACCTTATCGCTCATATGTTACATAAGTCATATGACATATCTTTGAATATTTATTATTTTGAAAGGTCTCATTCATTAGTTGATAAAAAAACAAACAAAACTATGTAAATTAAAAAAAAACGTATGAAAATTAATATTCTTTTCATTCATTTTTTGAAAAATAAAAACAAAAATTAAAATTAATTAGTATTGAAAAACACGTCTACTCTCTACTACAAAGAAACATAAAAAGTCCCGAAGAGTTAATACTTTTTTTGTAGTTTTTGTAGTCACTGACTATTCCTGCCCCGGTCTTCCCTTTATGTTAATTGTTAAATATGGAGTGGTAATTTAATTTTTTATTATAATAGAATTATATTGAAGAAATGTTCATCTGTCAGCATCGCAAGTTTATAATGATGTAAATATTTGTAATTTCGTTTCAGGAAATTGATGCAAATGATGATACTTTTTGGGATCAGTTCTGGTGTGAAAATGTTTCGAGTGTTCAAGATATTTTTACATTAATACCAGCTCCTGAAATTCGAATACTGCGAGAGGAAGCGCCTTTAAATTTAGGAAATTTATGTTACAAAGCAGTAGAAAAATTAGTAAAGGCCGTTGATTGTAGTTGTCGTACACAAGGAGAGCATCAAACAGTTTTAAATTGTTGTCGTTTATTAACGCGTTTATTACCTTATATATTTGAAGATTTAGAATGGAAAGGATTCTTTTGGGAGAGCTTACCAGGCAAAGAAGAAGAACAAAGTATGCCTTTGGCGCATTCTTTACTTAATGCACTCTGCGTATGTTATTTATCAGTTCAAGATTATAAAAATAAATTACAATTGACAAAATAATATAATGTAGTAAATTGGGTTTAATTAATTACGGACATTTTGAAATTTTTATTCAATTCATGCAGATTTTTTTCCAATTATCATAAAATGTGTAATTATAACCAGAGATAGGAACATTAAAATAAATATTAAAAACGTGCCGTGAATTATATTTTGAAGTGTCCCAAATTATTTTAACTCAAAATTACATCATATTTAAAGGAAGTAAACTGTTTTTTAATTTTAGGATCTACTTTTTTGTCCGGATTTTACAGTGTTCTCGAGCAAAAAATCAGGCCCTGTAAGTATGTTAATATATCATATACTATTAATAAAAGTTCTTATTATTTTTAAATAGTTTTACTTTTAATGTTTACTAAAAATTTAAGAAAATTTCTTACACCTTGCAGGATAAAGCTGAGGAATTACAATCTGTAGATAGTTGTGAATATATTTGGGAAGCTGGTGTAGGATTTGCACATTCGCCACCTAGACATCCGTTACTTGATGCTAATAGAACGGAATTATTAAAATTACTTTTAACATGTTTCAGCGAAACTATGTACAGTCCACCTATAGATCTATCTGAATCTCCAAACAAATGGATTCAATATTTAACAAGTGGAGAAAATAGGTACATATTTATTAAATCCATTTCAACAGAAAATGTATTAAAAAAATTAAATGAAACGGGTTGTCCTAACATTGAAAAAAATCGCAAGGTCCGAATTTTAGAATTCAAAGAATTTTAATTAAAAAATATGTAAATAATTGAATTGTATATGAAAATATTGAAGAATCATGTTTATTTAGGTTTAAAAATATTAATTGCTACTAATAGTTAAAGGTGGACATTAAAAGGCCTTGAATTTTTTTCGTTAACGAATGTATAAAAGTTTAATTAACTTTTGCCAAATTAATCGTACATACGAAATGTATATTCTATTTATTATATGAAGATTAATTCAATTTTTCGAATTGAAAATGTTTCTTAATTTTTAATCGATGCATATTGGGATGCATAAAGTACTTCTTAATTTATTTTAATACATTCTTTTTGTTGAATCGTTAAAAAATGAAAAATTAGATATAATAATATGACTTTGTTATAGGCATGCTTTGCCTATGTTTACATCTTTATTGAATACAGTCTGCGCTTATGATCCAGTAGGACTGGGAGTTCCATACAATCATCTCATATTTACGGATTCTTTAGAGCCTTTAGTAGATGTTGCTTTACAAATTTTGATAGTAACCCTTGATCATGACACAAGTAGTGGAATCTCTATTGAAGAAGGTGCAGTTGGTGATAATCTCTTCATAAATTATTTAAGTCGTATTCATCGAGATGAAGGTAATAATTTTAACAAAGTATTTATTCTTTCTAAAAGAAGTACATTTAATCAAAAGTCTAAATAAATCGAAAACTCGAATGAGGTGCATTGTATGATTGGTCGAAGTAAAATAGCGCGCGCTTATTTGAAATAATATAAATTCAAATAATTGCAAAGAAAAAATCGTCTAAAAAAATAATTATATCTAAAAAAAAATTTTTTAAATTGAAAATTCTAACTATTTATTTTTATGGATTAATTTACTTATTTATTTAAAAAAGAAGAATTTCCTAAGGCTTTATCTTCATCAATAATCATGTGCCCCTTAATATTATTTTTAAAAAAATATAGTATCAATAAGAAAAAAACAAAGGGAAATTAAATGATAAATAACAGTGAATAGGAAAGCAAAAGACTTTTCCATAAAGTCATCGACTGCGCTATTAGAATAAAAGAAATTAGATCTTTTTTTAATGTCTGGAACTTCTTAATTAACTTTTATATGTTACTTTTATATATTTTGCTTTTCTAGATTTCCAGTTTATTTTAAAAGGAATTACAAGGCTACTAAATAATCCACTTTTGCAAACTTATTTGCCAAACTCAACAAAGAAGGTTCACTTTCATCAAGAATTATTAGTTCTTTTCTGGAAAATGTGTGATTATAATAAAAAATTTTTGTACTATGTACTTAAAAGTTCCGACGTTTTGGAAGTTCTAGTTCCAATTTTATATCATTTAAATGACTCAAGGGCTGACCAATGTAAGTTGAATAGTTTAAAAAAATTTCCGTATTTTTTTAATTATGTTACATTTATTAAATTTGTATTTATTAACAGCTCGCGTTGGATTAATGCATATTGGTGTTTTTATTCTGCTACTTCTAAGTGGAGAACGTAATTTTGGTGTTCGATTAAATAAGCCATACACAGCAACTGTTCCCATGGATATTCCGGTTTTTACTGGTAATAATTTGCGTCTTATATTAAAATAATAATTCAACTTTTTTTTAACAGTTAAGTAGAATGTGTAAAATAAACGTACTGCAACGATTGATAAGAATTCTTATATAAAGAGTTAATATTGATATTAACATAAATATTTTTTAGGTACACATGCTGACCTTTTAATCACAGTCTTTCATAAAATAATCACTACCGGTCATCAAAGACTACAACCTTTATTTGACTGTTTACTGACGATACTAGTTAATGTTTCACCTTATTTGAAAACATTATCGATGGTAGCTAGTACAAAATTGCTGCATTTATTAGAGGCATTTAGTACTCCTTGGTTTCTTTTTTCAGCACCTTCGAATCATCATTTAATATTTTTTTTACTTGAAATTTTTAATAACATTATACAGGTAAGTTTAAGAATTAAAAACAAAGTTCTTATCTGTATTTACGAATATTTTTCAGTGCATTAGAAGCTACTATCAAAATTATTTCATATTCATATTTTAAAGTATAAAAAAAATGTTTAACACTCATTTTTATTTATATTTTATAGAACTAATTGTATATATCTTATAATTTTTATTTCAAAAATATTGAACACTTGGTTGGTTGCCATATGAATGTGTTAAAATTATTTTAACACTCCATTTCAACTTTTTAAAAATAAAACTTCAATTTGTTCCGAATGAAGCACCTGTGTTATATGCTGATTATTTAATTAATAGAAGTGAAGGCTATAATTAAACAATAGTTAATTTGGAATTTAATAGACTTAAATTGAACATTTCTGAGTCTCTCGTCAACTCATTTGACAGTAGTGAATTAGTTTTATATTGATTTAATATATGAAATTTAATTTTCAGTATCAATTTGATGGTAACAGCAATTTGGTATACACAATAATTCGAAAGCGACAAGTTTTTCATGCTTTAGCTAATCTTCCAACCGATTGTAATACTATTGCTAAATCTCTCAATAAAAGACAAAGAAGATATGCTGGTAACAATTCATCAAATGAAAGTATTAGCGAAGCTGCAATGGAAGGTTCCCGTCCTGCTCAACCTGCAGAACCTGGCACTTTAAAAGCAACTTTATTAGAAACACCTGGTATGTTTATTTATTTGTAATCTCTAAAATTATTTAATTTAGACCATTTTTGCCAAGAAAAAAAGGTTTTATTTTTTCTTCGACTACTGAATAGTCAGAGAAGTCAGGAAATTTTAAAAAATGTGCTGGAAAAATTATAAGATGTCAAAAATGTTCATGCGTTAAAAATCAGTCTCCAGCGACCCTTAAAAACATTGAATTATCCTTGAATTTATTTTTTATACCTTGAAAATATTTAAATCACTTTGAAGTTTAAAACAATATAATAATAATATAATAATAATATAATAATAATATAACAATAATAACCTTGAATTATTAAAATTTTATAAAATAATATTTATAGTTTAAAACACTATACACACAGTCACAGTCATTCAAATTCATACCCCAAATTTTTTGACTGAAAAAATTTTCAAAATCGAATCAATATTTAAAAATTAAATAATTACATAATAATTTCATCCTTTCATGATGTAGAATAAATTGATTTATGTTTCTAGTAAATAATAATATCTAATATTTTATAGTTTTTGTATAATAACGTTTCCAAAAAAGTGCAACATTTAAGAAATAAACGAAATCACAACGTGAACCTCATACTTTTAATAAATTATAATTTAAAACGAAAATAAATTTACACAATAATATTTTGGCCAATAAACTTAGAAATTCACCTATCACATAAAAGTTTTTAGGCGAGCTGCTGTACCTAGCAGTAGGGCTGCTTCACGAAATGAGAGAATGCTTACGTCCAATAGTTTGTTCACTTTTTCTCAAATTTTTCAAATACGTGCTCAAAAATAAGGTACCTATAACGGAAGCAACAAAAAATCGCATAATTACCAAAAGTTGAAATTAAAGTTAAAAAGTGAGTTTTCTCAAAGATGGACACTTTTGAATTTTAATTTTTTTTTGCACTGCAATCTCTGATGACTGAAGAATTTTTTCCCCTATCTGCAAAAGTGGTTTTTTTTGTTTTTAAATTATTATTTTTAGTTTTATCAGTACAGCTCACAGAATTTCAAGCAGTTATTCTTCAAATATAACCTTTTTCCATTATTAATCATTTGTTTTTTTTTTTAATTTTTAAAAATACATACTATTCAATCTTTACGTCTAGCTTAAAAATTGTAAATAGTAATATAAAAACTAGAAACACCACTTTTGCAGATAAGGAAAAAAATTCTTCAGTCATTAAAGATTGCAGTGCAAAAAAAGTTAAAAATCGAAAGTGTCCATCTTTGAGAAAACTCATTTTTTAATTTAATTTCAACTTTTGGTAATTATGCTATTTTTTGTTGCTTCGGTTATAGGTACCTTATTTTTGAGCACATACTTGAAAAATTTGAGAAACATTTTGTCTAAAATACACTGCTTTTGATGACGTTAAATTTAAAAAAATCATAATTTACTTCATTTTTATCGAATAAAAAATTTCAAAAATACGTTTTTTCTTATCTTTCATGTAGATTTCGAAAAAAATGTTTCGGACAAAAAAATTTTGAATGAAAATTACTCGTGGAATGCCCCATATATACTTGATAATACTAACATGATTTTGCAAAAAGTTCCAAACTGGGCATAATGAGTTTGATGATTTTTAATTAATTTCTATGTATTATTAAAAAAAATTGTTTTAGGAATTGAAAAAATGACGGAAAAAGAATCTGCACATCCCTTGAGCCTTTCGACAGATGCTATTAAATTAAAAGATGACGAAAGCATGGAATTAGAAAATTTATCTGAAGAATCAGCTAACATTGGCCGAGCAAACTCTATTGTGTCGGTATGTTAAGATTTATTTTATGCTTCTGCAGTGGGGAGAGACCGATTGCCCAATCATTTTTTAAGTCTAAAAATTTTATTTTAAAATTTATACATATATCTAAAAATCGTAAGTATTATTTGAAAGCTTAAATCTTTAGTTTTAATTTTGCTACGTACTGTTTTACTGTAAGTCGCTTCTGCCTTGAGTTATAACAATTCTTCAAAATCCTGTTTATGGACATTAGTTTTTGTAATTAAATATGATCAGTTTTTAAACACCTTAGCATTGTTTACTTAAGTTATTGTACACGAATCTAAGAATTTGTATAAAAACAATTTTAAGAGTTCTTCTGATTACTTTGGTTACATGCAATTTGAGTTTAAGACATATTTCTTCTCTGAATTTTTTGTACCTTTTAGTCTCTGAAATTATACTACTCATTTCGAATCCCTTAAATTTCCAATACACGGTTTTAAATTGGAGAATTTGTTGATTTTTCAGCTCTTCATTCGAGAATATTTGATATTTATTGTTATTGATTTTTGGTCTTAAAAAATATTTTAATTTTCCATTAAATCTTTCTCTTTCAAGAAATATAGTGGTAATTCTCAGAAAAAGGAATTTAGATAAATTTAATCTAAATTTTTTGCGCCCTTGCCACGTAAATAATTATTCTTTTATAGAAAATTAATGCTTTTTAGTATTTCATATAAAACGTATCATTTGTCCACAGAGAGGAGGAATCAGAGTTGGAGAGCATATAACTCCTGATGTAAATCAATGGACACCTTCAGTCGAATGGGTGTGCCAGTGGAAAAACAAGCTACCTCTTCAAACAATCATGCGATTGTTGCAAGTTCTTGTACCACAAGTGGAAAAAATTTGCATTGACAAGTAATTATTTTATTAATGTATTGTTTATAGTGAACATTTTGCTGGAAAAATCTATTGCGAATTGACATGAAGATGTGGCCTAATCTATTGGCGACGAAAAGATTCCATAAAAAAACGTGATATTTCAAATTAATGTGAAAATGTTGAGAAAACATTTTCACTTAGATCAACAGTAGTTCTTTCTACAGAAATATTTTAGACATTTTTAATAATTTTTTGTAGAGTATGAATTTTTTTTTTAATTTCAGGCTTTGCACTTATCTACTAAAAGCAACTATTTGCTACTTTTTTTATATTATTTGCTACTATTGGGTTACTTTCTTCAACCTTGCGCTACTAAAAAAGATACTTTTTTAAAATTTTTTAAATTTTTAAAATTTATTTACAATAACATTTCTTTAATTTAGTATAAATAGAATTTGTTATTGATTTTAATAAATGAAAGGATTAAACATTTAAATTATTATTGATTTGCATTTAAATTAAAATAACAACTTCCATCTATATTATAGCATTCATAGACTTAAATTATTTTCTAATTTTAAAAAATAATATTATGGCTTAAATTTTCTTTTTTTTTGTATGACATTAATAATCAAAAGTAAGAGGTTCGGGGCCTTATTTTTTAACCTTAAATTATTATGTACTTTTTGTTCCAAGAGTATTTAATATTCGATACTGAAACTTACCAAAAGTAGAAATTTCTTGATTCTGTACTGAAAAATGATAAAATTGGTGAAGAAATATTCTTCTTTGAAATAATATTCGTATATGAAATTTTTCAGAGCTTGTAACTTTTTTTGGGACCTCCTAACAATTTGAGGTTTTGCAGATATTTTAATATTTATAATATTTAGTTTCTATTAAAACTTGACGTACGTGTTTTATACTTTTTCTTCTAGATATTTAATTTACAAATTTTTACATAGAAAGATTAATATTTTATTGTTTAGGTATCATTTGAAGTTAATAAATTAATATTTCTTTCCTGTAATTGATTTACTAGACATTAACCTTTTCAAAAACAACATTTAATTTTATATTTCTAAAACGAAGCAAAACACCTACGTCAAGTTTTAAAAGAAACTAAAATAAATATAAAAATATCTGCAAAAACTTCAAATTTTTAGGAGTTTCCAAAAAAAGTTACAAACTCTAAAAAATTTCAAAAATTCATCATGAAAAAAATTTCAAATTTTATTTGCCTTTAAAAACGATTTAATTTTAGTAAAAACACAGGATTATACTGGATTAAAATCAAAATTTTAATCAAATTTTTTTGATTTTTTAAAATAAAATTTACATATAGCTGAATAAAACTAAACTTTATGAGATTTAATTTTAATTAAAATAAAATTTGAATTAAATTAATTTCATTCATTTCGTAATTGTATTATATGTATTTCAAAATTTCATACATAAAAAATCTGATTTATAAAAGTTGAGTTAAGAAAAAAATCTACTAAATGAGAATTTAGTTAGATGTATTTTTATTTTAGATGATTAATAAAATTTTACAAATGATACTTAAATTTTTGCAGAGGATTAACGGATGAAAGTGAAATTTTAAAATTTCTTCAACATGGAACACTCGTTGGTTTATTACCAGTGCCTCATCCAATACTTATTCGGAGATATCAAGCAAACACAGGAACGACGGCATGGTTTAGGACATACATGTGGGGCGTTATTTATTTAAGAAATGTAGAACCACCAATATGGTATGACACAGATGTAAAATTATTCGAGATACAAAGAGTTTAAAAGTCATGTCTGTTGAAAACACCATGAATCATATTATATGTATTATTTCTGTTGCAAAAACAATCTTCGGATAAAATTCATGTATATTATAATGATTTAAAATACTGTTTTAACAATTGTAAAATGTCATTCTTAGTCCTAAGGAATATTATTTCCTTCTTCTCACGTTAATGTGATATTCATTTGCATTTTACTTTTTACTGACACTATTCATCATATCTAATATGTAATAAGAAATTGTATCGTAAAAATGTATATGAAACAAACAAAAAAAATTATTTCAGAAAATTATTTTCACAGAACAGTATTTAAGTATAAAATAACAGTTTCTGTATTGTGTGCAATAAATAATGTTTTATTTATTTTTTTTGAATTTCACTTTTACTTTATCTCATATATTTATTTTTTGCAATTTTGCGTTTTTTACGAGTTAATCCCAAAAAACCATGATTTTATGGTGTTTTTATGGTTTTCACCATGATAATAAAATCACCAATTTTCACTATCATTTTCGTAATCAGCGCACCAAAATACGTTAGTATACCCAGTTTTATTAAAATCGGCGAGAGACGCTTACGGAACTATATAATCGGAATCATAATATATTCTGTTAAAATAAAGTGTTAAAACTGTTTTTTAATTATCTTATAAAAGGCGATCAGGTAAGATTTCGGTTAAAAATTATACTCTTTTGGTATAGGACCCTGCAAATTGGATGTTTCTCTACGAATATCGTAGAAATTTGAAAAACGGACACCAGATTCGTAATCAGCGAACCCGAAAACCCCTGAGTAACGATTTTCGAGTAAATCCGATGAATTTTTAATTTTTTCGTCAGCCATATTCGATTTGCCATTTAAAATTTAAAATATTTAAATATTAATTAATTATTTTTCTCGAGGTCTGCATATCCATGGATAAACGATCTTAAGGATTAGGAAACAGTTTTTCGAGCAAAATTATGTTTTTACAAACAATCTTCACAATCCGTACAAATAAACATTCGACGAATTAAAAATTTTTTGATTTTAAATAATTTTAAATTCTGTTAAATGAGAAATTAACTAAATTAAAATTGGGAACAATTTATTTTAATTCGTCTAAATAGAAATTTAAAACATTCAAAAAATTAAATTACGATAAAAATTTTTTTCGATAAATTGGATAACAGAGGTACGAGGTAAAAAAATATGTAACAATTTCTAAGTCATTTATTTGTAATAAAAATTTATAATACAATTTTCAATAGTTGGTAAATTTTACTTTATATAGTCATAGCCATACATTGGAGCTTCAAGATATGCCTTATGCATATCTACTGAGTTCCTTTTAATTCGTCTACCAATGGGCTCTAAATCATTGTAACACCTCGTAAAAACACGTTCAACTGCTGCACGTGCCTCTTCTTCAGACACTTTACGTACTGCTAATACAGATAAAACTGCTTTGTGTTTTACACATTCCTGCACAAACAAAAGAATAATGTTTTTAGTTTGATTATATCTAATTATTATAGAAGCTGCAACCCAAGTAGCACAGAATATTGCTTGAATGTCAAGGTGATATCAAGCGAGAATATTGTTGTGACATTCAGGGGATATCATAATGTCCGCTTCATGGGGACATTCCACGGTGATATTCCTGTGACATTCGCGTGATATTCGTATGATACTGAGGGAATATTCCCGTGAAATTCAAGTAATATTGAGGGGATATCCCTGTGATATTGAGGGAATATTCCTCTGATATTAAGGAAATATTCCAGTAATATTGATGAGATAATTTTAAAAATTCTAAAAAAAATTTTCTATTTTATTTTCCATTTATTTATTTTTTTATTTAAATATTCAAAACATACAACACTTTGGAATTTTATAAATAACAGGAATATTCTCTCAATATCACAGGGATATTCCCTCAATATCAGAGGAATCCACACGGTGAAAACGGCCTCTTAATAATAAGGATAGATTTAACTTTTTTTGTTTATTAGAAAATGAATTTTAACGTAAAAAATATAGAAACTGAAATTATACAAAACATTTAGATTTGCATCTAAATGTTAAATTTTTCTATTAATTCGTTAATACTCTTTTGATTATCACAGGCCAACAAAATTAGAAAATTTTTTTGGTGCTATGTGTTGTTTTTTGTTGACCTGTGTTAGCGAATTTTAATTTTTAATAATTTTGAATTTCACGGTTCTTTTTTTTATAAAGTTATTTTAAAATTATACAGTACATAAAAATTACCTGGTGCGTTTGCTTGATATTAAATGGTGAAGAAAAACCTCCTGTGCAGGAACTTAAAAAACTACAGTGAGTTAAATTTGCAGCACGAACTTCTGTACAGGCTACATGATCAATATTTTTAAAATCAAGTTCGTTTCGACAATAATCAAACATATGAATCATTTCATGGGTCATTACTCCTTGTATTTTTCCTATTCCTTGAATAACATTGTGACACACAACAATCTGAAAATATTAAATCAAGTGTTTTTTAGTACTTTTTAATGATCATATTAAAAAATTTTCTGTTCTGAAATTCTGTCTGTTAGATTTTTAGCTTTATGTGAGCATATAACAATATAAATATAAATACGATGGATTTTATATGAACTGATCGAGTGGGAAAATTTTGTCTCCAAACGCACTCAAACTAGGAGCATTTTGAGTCATTTTGGAGTTACTGGTAAAAATATTTTTCATTTAGACCAATATTTACTTTGAGTGATAGGCAATGCAAATTATCATGAAGTTTTGCAATTATTTTTTATTTTTATTTTTTTTTTATTTATTATTTCTATTGGGATTTATTTCAATTAACAAAACAATATTTGTTCTTCTTAATTGAAGTATTAAACTTTATTTTAAAGATAATTTAAAGAAGGTTTTATGGTGAGGGAATTTACTCTGCATGAGCGAAATAACCCTATCTTACAGTATTTTATGTGTATTGGATTTAGTATAAGAACTTAAGAAGTGAAAAGTACCTGATTCAGCTCAGGATCATATCCACCACTGACACTGAAGTCACAAACTTCACAGGAAACATGCCTTCGAATGTCAAATTCACTGCAATAAATGGGTATTTATATACATATATTATCTATTCAAAAAATATGGAAGCGCATGATTATTCCATAAAAATCATAATTTAGAATTTTTATTTTAAAGAATTCTATTTGATACCATTATTTTTTAGATGAATTTTCATTTATTCAAAATTGAAAATGAACGAATAAATAATCGACAGAAAGATTTTAGAGCGATTTTTAAAACTGACCAATCAGAAATTATTATCAAGAAAATCGTTATTAGTCAATTTTAAAATTCGCGCCGAAATCTTTGTGTCGATTTAAAAATTCGAATCACTAAAAAATTCCATTAAATGAAAATTATGCTAAATTAAAATTCGCATAAATTAGAGTTCATTTAAATGTAAAGTTTGATAAAAAAATAATTAAATCTAATGTCTCCTTCTATACCGTTGGTCCGTCAATTTCTTTATTTGTAATTTGTCAAAAAAATTATAGAAGAACACAACAAAACATTTTTGAAAGTTTAAAACTACCATTAAAACTTATTGACTCCCATATTGAACCCGCCATTTTGGATTTTTAAAATCTGACTTCAGATTCGGGAAAGGAAATAGATGATCGCTCAGATTTTAAATTAACTCTCCTGGAAAGTGTGTACTGACAATGAGTTTTGGTTTATTACTTATTTTTCTGAATACTTCTAAAAATTTTTTAGAACAATGAAAAAATAAACTTTTAAAATGAATATTTACATACCATCCTGAACTGTTTAAGGCTGCTGCCATTAATTTCACTAACGGACCTGAATCAAAGAAAATTCAATTTCTAAATTTTAGAATTCATGAGTATATCTTTATTCAAAACAAACCGATCTACCGATGGTCGAGTAAAAGAAGCACTCTCGCGTTTTCTCTCTAAAGCGACCAATCTTCATTTGTTTTTAACATCAATATACTTTTTTAGGCATATATTTTGTTTAAAATGCTATACATTTACAGTAAAATCAAAATATAATTTATAATCAGTGAAGAATGAGAAAATATAAAATGTATAAATTTCATTGTAAATGTTATACTGTAAATAAAAAAATACTTTTAAAAAGTATTGCGAGGTTAAAGAAAAAAAAAAAAAGAAGTCTGGTTGTTTTAGAGGGACAACTTGAGAGTGGTTCTTTTATTCGACCATCACCAGATCGGTTTGTTTTGAATGGGAATACCGATATATTTATGTAGATGTTTCGAACAATTAAATTTATTTAAAAGTACCTAAAAAAAACTTTTTCTATTTTTTCTGGATATAACTAGAAATTATGGTTCAATAAATCAAGTTTAATGTAACAATCCGACGACATTAAAACTTATTTTGTAAATTTAAAAATTTGGCAATTTGTATTTCTTCAAAATAAAAAACGCTTTTAACATCAACAACTAAAGAAGCTTTGTGAAACGATCAGAAAACTTAGTATACGGTAAAGTTTTCTTAAGGATTTAATTTTAATATTATTTAATATTATTTATTTAATAATTTTTCAAAATTTAAGGTAAGTAAAACAGTGCATTTTGGAAAATAAAATAGACATGAATTTCAAGCTAATTATTATTGCTCCAAAATAGACTCAAAAAGAATTTTTTTTAAATCACCGTTAACTGCAAAGTTAAAATTGTTTTTTCAAAAATCTTTTCTATAGGAATTAAGAGCTTATTTAGTGTAATAAAATAGAACTAAAAAATTTTTTTTAGAATTATTTCAATAACTTCAATAAAATTCTTCAAAAATTCAATTTGAAATCTTTTAAAAACAAATTATTTAAAAAAATTTCAATTGAAAACTCTAAAACTTAATTATGGTTAGACATTTTTTGTGCATTAAAACTAAAAATTATGCCAAAATTTTGAATTCGAATAATTTGCTTGAATCAGTTTTCAAACATTTTTAAAAATAGAAAATGAATAATTTTTTTTTAGAAATCTGTTTCCTGAATTAAAATCTTGAAAATTTGTCTAACAAGGAACACTACCCACCCTGCTAAAAATAAAATCACAAAACGTCAAAAAATTAGTCAGGATCTCTGACGTTTTTAGACTGTTTTTGTTACGATTGCAGTCACAGAACACCACAATAAGTGAGGTTTAGTCAAAGAATCGTCAATAGTAGTCAGGTTTTTTATGAGGGTCGGAGACCCTTTTTTTTGCCAAACCATAAATCATTAAACCCTGTGACTATTTGTGATGTTAAATGACATTTCTTTCTATAAAATAGTTTTGAAGATTCCTGACTTACTTCTCATGAATTCTGACTACAAATATTTAAAAATTAAAAAAAATCAATATTTTATCATTAAAAAAATAAATTATCTTACAACATTTTTTTATCTTTACGTTACACATTCTTAATTATTATTTTTACAATTTATTATATTTATTTACTCCTATCGAAGAAAATCTCGCAAACGCAGGGAATCGAACTCACAACCTAACGAACGCAAACCGAATACCTAACCCCTGAGCTAAACTAACCTAACTGAGATCTTAAAAATAGAATACGGTTTTATGAAAATAGAAGATCTTATTACTTTTTTTCAATTTTATCAACATATTTTGTTGATAATTATTATTATTATTTTAAAAAAATTTTATAATTTTTAAAAATTAACAAGTAAAGTTAAAATAGGTATATTGTTATATTGATCAAAAAACATTTGTAGTCCAATTATCATATATTAATGTATTCAATTAATAAAATTTGCTTCAGCAAATATTTAATTAAACAAAAAATTCGTATGTAAATATTATTTGAATTCGAACTTAAAAGAATATGTGTAATATACAAATAAAATAGTCTAGAATAATAAGATACTGTCGGATTGTCTCAAGTAAACTCTGAGCGAATTTTATCAGGTTTTTCGCTCACGTTTTAGCACATTCCTTACTATTATAATTAATTATAATGATAAGAATTAATTAATATGCATATATTAATTACTATATTATTAAAATTCAATTTAACATAATTCTTCCACGAATCAACTAAATAATTACTAATTTTAATTTCTCTTTTTAGCATACTGCACTATAATTAGATGTAATATTTGGTTCAAATCAAATTTATATTTAGTGAAAACTGGATCAAATTCGCTCAGAGATTGATTGAGCGATCAATTCATATATTCTATTTTACAAGAGACCAGAATGTTTTTGCTCATCTAGTTGTAAAAAAATAAACTTTTATGTGAAATAGCCAGCGATTTCTAATTTTTTTCAAATATATATATATATATAGAGTTAACACAATGGTAAGAATAGGTTTTCAACATATGTTGCTTTCTTATAACTAAATGTAAGGAAACTAGCTTACTGTAAAATAATAAATACAAATTTGAAGTAGGGACTTTAAAAGTATAGTCGTAGTCATTGACGCCTTCCCTTTTCTGTCCTTGTCTTACAAACGTGATTCCATATATATTATATGTACGTTAGAAAAGGACAAAAAGAAAAGTATAGGCCAGAAGGATCTTTTATGGTTTTATGGCTTTTCATTGCAAAATTAAAAATTGTTGCATTTGAAAAAAATGATTTTTAAATATTATATTCGTAATGTACATGTTAATACAATTACAACGATATAAAATTTTTTGCAAATATTTTTAAATTATTGAGAATTAATTTTAATTAATGGAGTATTTATTGTATAATCATTATGTAATTTTAGAGTTTTTACATAATGTTTTATATCATTGGAATCGTTAAAATCTATAAATTACAAATATAACATTTAAAAAAATATTTATTTAAATTTAAATAATTTTTTATTTTGCATTAAAAAGTCATAAAACCTGATGGACCCTCGAAAGGACCCTTCTGTTGGAAAAAGGGAATATATAATATAATAGAGTTATATGGTGGGTTTGAGTGGCCTTGGTACCTCTCTTGGAATCCTTTTTACAAAAAAAATAAAACGTAGTGAGAAATCGTCACTTTTTAGAAAACGTCAGGCCCATAAAAACTATTTAAGTCAGAATTAGTCAGCAGCATCACAGAACATCAAAATAGTCTCAAAACGTCAGGATTTCTGACGTTTTGAGACTGATTTCTGATTTTATTTTTAGCAGGGCAGGTGTAAATCACCGATTTCGCTCATCTTATGATATACTGTAGTTCTTTGAAAAATATTCGATATGTATATTTTTATAAGTGCCCTATGGTACATCTAAGGGGTGAAACCCACCCTCAAAAATCAATTTTTGCAATTTTGCAATATTTAAAATATTCGAAATAAATTTTCTTGCTAATATTCCTACACGGAGAAAATCTGAACCACAAAACATTTTTAAGTTTCAAAAATGCAAATTAAAGATAAGACCTTAAAGATTATGTTCTGAAATTGTCAAATATTTCCATAAATTATTCTAGAATATGCCAGGCAAGAAGACTAGAATAAGGAGGTCTAACTCAGGTAGTGGGGGTATGGTAAGTATATGTATGAAATTGGTAGTTGCAGTAGGCGGATTTTCGAGAAAGGCAGAGTGTGCGGTAGACTTCTGCGCATACCAATACATACAATTTTCAGTAATTCTGGACAAGGCAACAAAAATGTATATAATTGGTGTGCGCAGAAGTCTACCGCACACTCTGCCTTTCGGCCTACCTTGAAAACCAATTCTTTACGTACCCCCACTACCTGAGTTAGACCTCCTTATTCTAGTCTTCTTGGGTCAGACTGCAAAAAGAAGTATCTTATTATGAGATACATTGGAAGCAATTTACCAAAAGTATCTTTCTATCCATCTTATATCTTAAGAAACTAATGCATTTTTAGTTGTTTTAGATAACTTAGAAGCAAGTTATAAAAAACATCTTAAAAAGGCGACCAAAACATCTTAAAATAAGATACTTCTTTTTGCAGTGCATCTTAAAACTTTCGACATTACACTAAGCTTTCACAGTAAAGCTAAGGTAATCTTACACAGTAAGGTCGTGGTAAGTTTACATGGTAAGGTTGTGGTAAGCTTCCCGTAAGGTTACTGTAAGGTTACTGTAAACATAGAATGTTATTAATAAATACATTTTATTAATATTTATGCGCAGTAGTTTTCTATGGCACATACGGCTGCGTAGTAAATTTTACTTAACAGACCCTATTGGGGTTTATGAAGTACTTTACTAAATATATAATTTAAAAAAAAAATTTATAATATAATATATATTATAATATAATTATTTTAAATATATTTTCATATTACTCTATGTTTACAATAACCATACAGCAACCTAACGGGAAGCTTACCACAACCTTACCATGTAACCTTACCACGACCTAACTGTGTCAGCTTACCTTAGCTTTACTGTGTAAGCTTACTGTAATGGCGGAAGTTTTAAGATGACCTCAAGTTTACTGTAGGCTTACACGGTAACCTTACAAACCCTACAGATATCCTAACAGTAACCTCACAGCAAGAAGTCGTGCTATGTGGGTGTTATAAAAATGCACTTGGAATCTAAAATTAGGAAAATCGGTCGGGAACGATCAAAAGTACATACTCTCGAGAATGTTAACTTAACCCCTTCACTGTTACTGACCTCTATAGAGGCAAAAATAAGTCGTGCCACCAGTGTGCATGACCGCTATAGCAGCATCTTAAAAATAAAATAGTTTTACTTAATATAATATTAATGTTAATAAAAACATACAATATGGTAATATAAGATTTAAAAAAAAAAATTTTTTTTTTGCACACTGGTGGCACGGAAACACGATTTTTGCTTCACAGCGAAGGGGTTAAAAGGCTATTATCACGGAATCGTGCTTTTTTAGAATTACAATAACGTTGACTGCGATTTTTCCAAAACCGATCGGGCTGAAATTTTCAGAGGTTCTTTATACATACAATAGCTAGTGCGTGAACGAAGTAATTTTAATTCGAACCCTGACTTCTCAAATTTTTCGACTAAATGGGGACAGCTTGTTATTATTAACCAAATTGACAAACATCAAAAATTCAAGTGAATTTCTGTTATGGGAGTCATAAGGGCTAAGAAAAAATTTTTGTATGAATTTTAAGTCTGTTTTTTTGAAATGCGAGACAAAATACTAAAATAAAAAAAAAAAAAAATTCAATTGGTTCAACTATTATATATCTACTACAAATTTTTTTCAAGTTTTGAAAGAAGAAACGTACGTAATTTGTGAAAAATAGGAATTTTGTCCCCATTTAACCCAACTGACCCTATGTATTTTTTTTTGTCAAAAAACCAAATTTGAAACCCTTAAAATCACGATTTTTGAAGAAAAATCATCACTATTTCTAGAATTTTTTTTTCAACACCCTTTGTTCACGCACGAGGTGATATAATAATATACTGACGAAATTTCCATTGTTTTTTAATTTTAGTTAAACTGTCTGATATATCGTAGTGACCGTAAGCAGCTGTCAGAAAAAGGTGATTTAGTGCAAGGTTTATAGTTTCCACAATTACTAATATTTTTTAATACAAAATTATTTACAAGTACATCGAAATATGTACTATTTGATACAATAAACTTGGTTAAAGAACTTTGTTAAAAACAGCTAAACAAATTTTTGAAAATTGTTTATTTTTTACGCGCATAAAGGAGGGATTCTTCTTCAATCGCCCCAGCTCAAAAAGTGAAAGTTCTGGGATTGGCTTGATACTTTGGTAAATTGTTGTCCTACATGAAAGTAATAAATCCCTAAAATATTAACTCATTAAAAAAATATTTGTAGAAAGTTGAAGTTATTCCAAATCCACATAACTATGACAAAAGTCAATGAATTTAAATTTATGTATAGGTAATGACTTTTAAAGTATTTTGCACGTACTTTTCAATAACGGACACGAAATTAAAAAAAAAATTCACCCCTTTTTTCAAAATCAACCCTTATTTTTCAATTTTCACCCCTTTGGGTTTTTTTAAAAAAAAAATTTATTTTCATTGGAAAACTTTTTTTGAGAAACATAATATTAATGTAGGCGAGACTCCAGCGCAATCGACTCAACGGTGCGTACATGTCGTCGTACACACCTATATTATTCCTATTTACTTCAGTAATAGCTCTCTGCATTTTACAGGGTTGAAACTGTCCACAAAATAATGCCTTTATTATTGTTAATGAAAGAAATTTAAATTTTAAAAAATAGTCAATCAAAGAATAATAAAAAGTTAACATGTTTTTAATAGGTATGAAATTATTAATTTAAATTAAGTAATGAATGTAATTTGCTTGAAATATTAACATGGGATTAATTTAGAAAAAATATTTTAAATTTAATATACGGGTGTTTAATTCTTTTTTCGATTTTTTATTTCATTTTTTGTTGCCTTTTTTTGTTGAAAAAAGAGTAGAGGAATTTTTTTATTTTTTGCAACATTCTGAAGCTATTTATGATGAGAAATTCGTGAAGGAAATTTTTCATTTTTTTTTTTTAGTTAAATAATTACATTTAATTTATTTCTTTTAGTGAAATAAACACAATGGAAATTTTTTTTAATTAATAAAATATATTAGGGTCAGTTGGGGTAAATGGGGACAAAATCCCTATTTTTCACAAATTACTAGAAGTTTCTTCCTTTAAAAGGTAAATGCGGGTTTACATTTTTTAAGTTGTTATTTACATTCCCAGGATTAATTTGGTATTCCCTGTAGAGACGCTCCTGACAGTCCAAAATCAAAAAACCAAATTATTTTTTAGTATACACGAATACCCAGTAGACTATTATCATGGAATTAAATAAAAAATCCAAAAAAAACAAAATGGCGTCCTTTTTAAATCAAAATTAAAAAATTTTTTTTTAACGTTTTTGGCTATAAAAAAATGGAAAAAATTTAATTTTCAAAATTTTGATAATTAATTTACTGCAGAATATGTTTTTTTACAACATGTAGAAAAGAAATTCTCATTTCGTTTAGATTTTTTATTACAGGGGGTACCAGTTTTAAAAAAGTTGTTTCGAGAAAAACGAGTTTAAAGTTTATGTTCACATCGTTTTTCTTATAGTTTTTGCTTACATGCAGTTATATATTCGTGTATAACTTTTTTAAAAATCCGAATTTCTACATAATATTTTACACGCGTATTTTTGACATTATAAGAATTAAAAAAATGTAAAAAAAATCGAAAAATTTTTTTTTCAAACGCAAGTATGCCTTAAAATTCATTATACATAAATTAAAATCCAGTGACTTTTGTCATAGTTATACGGATTTGAAATAACAATGTTAACCAAAACGTTAAAACTTCAACAACCTCTACACGGAGAAAATCTGAAAGCAATGAGTAGTTTTTCTCATAGCACTGGCTACTGTGTAAACCAAAAAATTGAATTTCAAAACTCTGAATGTTCTCCACACAGCACTGAATGCTCTGCAGAAAATAATCACAACTTTTTTTGACAGTAAACAGAGTTTCGTTTTATATTAGTTGACAACAGATTATTCAGAACTACAAATGTAGCAATAAATTCTTTGCTCGAAGTCGTGACTGCTGTTCTCACAGCTCTGAGTACTGTGCAGAATTATTTTTTAGAATTAGAAAACAAAGAAACGTTTAACGTCAATTAAAACGAAGATAGCCATGGTTATTTTTCTTTTCAAATATTGATTTTAATTGACATGTTTATATACAGTTAATGAATAACAGAAATAAAGAAATGAAGACTTTAAAAAGTCTTTTTAAAAAATATCGCTTTTTTTAATTTTTCAGTTATATAGCAAATAATGTTATTATACAATAATGAAATAATAAATAATTATTTTTAAAATGAATTATTATAGGTAAATTTTAAATATTTTTTTGTATTTCAGAAGTTTTAATATTTTAAGATTTCTTAGCGAATATCAAATTACAACCTAATCTAAATTTATAGATAATTATGATTAAAAAATATTAAGTTTCAACATTATTATTTTAAATATTTATCTCGTGAAGTAAAAAGAATTATTATTTCTTACGTTTATTAATAAAAAGTAATTTGTTTAACATTATTAAAGTTTATTACTTCTTATTTAATTAAATATAAATAATTTTAGTCAAATAATCTGTTTTTCATAAAAATATAAGAAAACATCCAAAATTGATTAAAATTGTCTTGAACGCTTGTTTCAAATTGTTCTTTATTTTTTATTAAAGGTTAAATGTTTTTTTATTTTTTTAATCCTAAAAAATAATTCTACACAGTACTTAGAGCTGTGAGAACAGCAGTCACGACTTCGAGCAAAGAATTTATTGCTACATTTGTAGTTCTGAATAATCTGTTGTCAACTAATATAAAACGAAACTCTGTTTACTGTCAAAAAAATAGTGATTATTTTCTGCAGAGCATTCAGTGCTGTGCAGAAAACATTCAGAGTTTTGGAATTTAATTTTTTGGTTTCCACGGTAGCCAGTGATGTGAGAAAAAATACTCAGTGCTTTCAGATTTTCTCCGTGTACTTTCTACAAGTTTTGTTTTAATGAGTTAATATTTTAGGGATTTATTACTTTCATGTAGGACAACAATTTACCAAAGTATCAAGCCAATCCCAGAACTTTCACTTTTTGGGCTTGGGCGATTGAAGATGATTGATTGATGATTGATCAATGATTGATGATCCTTAACCCCTTAAGAGAGTATCTTATAATATAGTCAAATTGAATCGACGATGTCCCATAGGTGACATTTTCTCGATCCAAGTTATACAATAGTACATTGCGGAAAAGTTTTTTTTTATGTAAAACAACTTTGAAGTCGTTAGTGTAAATAATATTTAAGACACTTGCAACAAATAACTGTTAACATTTTGAAGCAGTTTCGGACAGTATTTTATATGTCCCTGAGACTGTTACTTATAACTGGATTAAGAATTTCACACAGATATTCCTTTGCAGAGCGCTAATCTATAAAAGAAAATAAGTAAACAAACAGAGATATTGCACTCTGCTTGTAATGCGGAATATATTGAGCAGGGACCTTTAAAAAATTAACGAAAACTATGGAATACAAAGAATTATATAATTTAAATGCGACTACAGAAAAATACTTACTAGAACGGTATACTTTGTAAACATTTGCCTCACACCTCGTTCGGTGTATATTTTCTTTGCCTTCCATACCAATCATTGCTTTGAAAAAATTAGGTTTGAAATCTGTACCTCTTCTCTCAGGATATAAATCATAACCCCACAATTTCTTCTCTTCATCCACATCTTGTGAGATTTTGATGCTCTCTTCTGTAGTATTTTCATTATTATTAGTGGTATTTTTTGTACTCATTGTAGTCTCTAATAATTTTTTTTGAACAATAGTTGCATTTACTTATTGTAAACAAAGAAAACAATTAAAATCATGCTCATGCCCACGGAATAGTGCTAAAGATCTGTTTGAAATGGCAAAAATTAGGGTACGGTCACAGTTCACTTTCTAAGTAGGGTCGTCATGGTAACGTATAAAGGTGCTTTTATACCATCTTCGTTTTTGGCACGGTCGCATAAAGGTCAACGCAGAACGCCAGATATCTGGCAGAAAAAAAAATCTTCCACAGGCTCTACAACTTGCTGATAGACAATTAATCTAAAGGCGCTTGTATACCTCACCGATCCCGAGTATACTTCTGTCGTGTACCATTGGAGTAAAAGAGACAAAAAGATATTTCCGTCTCTTTTACTCCAATGATACACGACGCAAGTATACTCGGGATGGGTGAGGTATACAAGCGCCTTAAAGGTGCTTATATACCTCAAATTTCGATCAGATGAACATTATTTCTGGACCGTGAAAATGCGTGAAAAGTCATTTTCACGGCGGGTATTTTTGAATTGTTTTAAACAAAAAATGTTTTTTTAAGAAATATAATATTAAATAATTGTTTTAATATGTAAGAACACTTTAAAATAGTGATAGAAAAATGATTTGATTAAAAAATATAGCCAATTTTGCTTTAAAACGTTTCTGCTACAAGAAAGTGTAAAATGACGATGTTTGTGAAATGGTTTGTACAGTGTACATGTGTACATGTTTCTTTCAGTTATTCGAAACAATTAGTAGAATTTAAATTTATTTGATAAACATTTCAACTTACCGATTTATTTTCAGCACTCATTATTTATTACAAGTTAAAAAGAAACGACATAACATAAACAAAACTCTGAGAGACACTCACAAGGAAGAAGCACTGTACAAACCATTTCACAAACATCGTCATTTTACACTTTCTTGTAGCAGAAACATTTTAAAGCAAAATTTGCTATATTTTTTAATCAAATCATTTTTCTATCACTATTTTAAAGTGTTCTTACATATTAAAACAATTATTTAATATTATATTTCTTAAAAAAACATTTTTTGTTTAAAACAATTGAAAAATACCCGCCATGAAAATGACTTTTCACGCATTTTCACGGTCCAGAAATAATGTTCATCTGATCGAAATTTGAGGTATATAAGCACCTTTACTTATCGACCATTAGGGCGGGCTCATTTGAATATGTTTTTCACGGAGATATTTGAATATTCTGAATATTCACATTGCAGGTGAATATAAAAATTAAAAGTGTATCGAAATAATGCTGTAAAACCATGACTGAAGGTCATGTGAAAAGGTTATAATAAAATTAATTATTTTTTTAAATATTATCTATTAATTAAAAAATCACAAATTTGCGAAAATTAATTTAAAAATTTTTTATTTATTAATAAACAATTATATTAGTATTGTTAAAGACAAGAAAAAACGTTTTAAAAATAATTAAGAAAATAATTTCAATATATTAAAATAAGAAATGAAAGTGAACACAAAAATTCTATTTTTTAAACATTTAAATCAAAATTATTATTCAAAAATTATTTATTATAATTAAAAATGTATTAATTAATGAAAAATTAATTTTTAAATATTTTATTTTTTGTAAAAGATTGTGGCCTTTACAAAATGGTTTTTAAAGTTGAAATAAAATTAATATGTTCAAAGTACATCTGAAACACTAGCTTCATGAATTTTTTCAGAATTTTTCATCAACTCATAAACCAAAAAAAAAATATTTACGAAAAAACGCATTTTTCGACCACCATAGGGGGGGGGCAGGGGGTTTTTCGGATATCGACCCTAGTTACCTTATTTTAGTACCCTAAAATACCCATGTACCGGGTCAATTCAAAAATCCAGACATTAGGGCATTTTACCCATCTTAACCCTGGAGACTCTTTATGTAATTGCCAACAATAATAATTAATTAACTATAAAAATCGTCAGATTATTTCATTTATTCATTATCTTTTCTTTCTTTCTGTCCACACTTAAAGGTTAGTCTTTTATATGTATTCTTTGATATTTTGTTAAGTTTTGATAGATTGTATTATATATTACAAATTATAATCATTTTATTCATTCTATAGTTTTGAAATAAGGTACAGATTATACTATATTATGTTCGCAAAATAGAAATTCAGGAAATTAAAGTAAGCTCTAAGTTTGGAAAATTATAAACAAATTAACACTAAGAAAAAAGGAAATATTAAAAGGAAGCATGCAAATTTTTCTTTATTTCTTTTCAGTAAAAATACTAAAGTTCGGTTAAAAACTGTTGTTTAACAAATCGAAATTATGAAAAAATTTCTTTTGTATTTCCATACAAAATTAGAGAATTGTTAAACAATAATAATTAAGAAATAGAACAAAATATTTGCATACTTTTACAAATCACAATTTTAAAAAAAAATCTCAAGTATTTTTTTAATTACAATTTTTCTTCAAAAGTTTCTGTTTGTTTAAATATTTAGAATTTTTTTTTACAAATTATTAATTATTAAAATTATTATTACTATTAATTATCTGCTGTGCTTTGCACCTTCATTTCTTTTTTTTAACTAATAATAGTCCTTATAAAGTAATAATAATAAATTTTTTAATTTCGCGCTGAGAATTCTCATGCGCAGTCACTTGTACGCAACTTGATACGTTCCACTGTGCTGTGAACAGAAATCTTTAAAACGTATTAAAATCATATTGTGAATCGTCCAAACACTTAAATGGTGTTTCCAATCCCATCCAAACGATGACCAAACGATTAGCATTAAATTTTTTAAAAAATATCAACTTTTGTTGTGCAAATGTGAAATTAGCACTAAAAATTAAAAAATTCAATAACTTTTTTAAACATTGTATCCAAACGTTAAAGGCGCTTGCACACCTCCGGCTGCCTGCACAGGCAGCCTCCCACCACGCAGAAAACATACAAGAGTAAGAGAGACAGAAAATTCAAATTTAAATCTACTGACTCTCTGATTGGCTCTCACTGGCTGCCTGCACAGGCAGCCAGAGGTGTGAGTGCGCCCTAAAAGTTGGTTTCCAAACATGACCAAACGATTCTAATTAAAAAAATATGGTAATTTTATGGTTGTTGCGCTAACTTCACGCACATGAGTTAGAGAAGGACTAAGGTATACGGTCTACTAATTTCACAAACAAATCAAATTTAAAGCTTAACTTAATGTTAATTGTATGATATGTCCCCACTGAAAATTCCCACATAGGCTTCCATATGGGAAACCACATGGGTCCCTATATAGGAAGCCATATGGTTTCCTATACAAAATCGTATACGTAATTGGAACAGGAATTTGAATAGGAAATTAAGTCGGAATTATCATATGAATCCACATACACACAGGAATGTACATTCCTATGTATATTCCTATTTCACTTCCTATAATATGAATTTTTTTTCAACTCTAAGATATATATCTTTCAATAGTAGAGGTTCCTAATAGACTACAGAGATGAAAAAAATTTATTGCCGAGCCGAAAAAGTTGAAGAAAACTACTGCGCATGATATTAAAATATAATGTGTGCACTCATATGATAATTCCTACTTAATTTCCTATTCAAATTCCTGTTCCAATTACGTATACGATTTTGTATAGAAAACCATATGGCTTCCTATACATATAGGAGCCTATGTAGGGATTTTCAGTAGGGGTTATAGTTTGATAAACGAAATTATAACCAGCTCTCTTGAGTATTTCCTTTCTAGGACTACACAATTCAAGTCCAGTTCTGTAAAACTTTCGTACAATTCTAATCGTATTTCTTTTCAGGATTGAAATACTTTTTTATGATCATTTACCTTAAGGCGCTTGTATACCTCACCGATCCCGAGTATACTTCTGTTGTTATTATTCGGACTGGGTTGAGTAAAAATAATTTAGAATTACTTGTCAAACAGAAACTATTTATTAAACTTTTATAAAATTTAAATGAATATCACTCCACATAAACATCATTCAAATTACATCTGTGCGGTCAAACATTTCGCACGCGTCTGTCTATACCTTCGCCTTCGTCTTATCATCCAAAAAATCCCCACTACTAAACACACTCATTCCTTACTCTTATCGGGACCCTTAACTCTATCTGTCGGTAAAATTATAAAACCAATGGCCACGACATCCTCCCCCTTCTAGTAAATTCAGTTTTTTCTTTTTTTTTTTTTACATCAATTTACAACAATTTACCTGAGCATAAAAAAATCAGAATTCATACAAAAATTCACAATCTTATTTCAGTTAGTCAAAACTTATATTTTAATAAATTTTATTACAATAAATAATAAGAATAAATAGAAATTAACTACTAAAACGTGTTGGTTTTTTACTAATGCGTCCCGATCTCGTAGTAACAATATTATTTTCTTCACATTTATTCTGCGAGTCGTCAGTTATTATACATTCTTTATTTTTATTTACATTCTCATCTGTACAACGTCGTTTCTTTTGTTTCATCTGAAAATCGTTCACAATTTCTATCTGACTACTTGACACTTCCAAAGGATAAATTTTTTGAATTGGTCTTTTTAAAATTCCTTTTCTCGACTTCAATACAAATACTCTATTTTTGCCATCGCAACCTGTAATTGCATCCATTACCCGTGCAAGAGGCCAGTCAATCCGTTTTGTATTATCATCCCCAATTAAAACAACATCCCCAACTTTTATTTCTCGTGTTTCCTTTTTCGAATTTTTTAGCATCAGTTGACCCAGATATTCTGACCGAAATCTTGCTCGAAGATCATTAAATATTTTTTGTCTATATTTAAGCTTTTTATTTAATTTCGCGTTACTTAACATGTCCAGATCTGGTACACCAATTTCGTGAATCTCTTGGATAAACATTGAGGGTGTCAGGGGTTTGAGATCGTCTGGATCTTCTGAAACGTAAGTCAGTGGTCGAGAATTGACTATCGCTTCCGCGTCGCATAAAGTTGTCATCATGCTTTCATACGTCAAACTAGCTCTACCCAAGACTTTCCGCAAAATTGACTTCAAAATGCCTATCAATCTTTCCCACCATCCCCCCCACCAGGGCGCTGATGGCGGGTTAAATACCCACTCAATTTTTAATGTCGAACTATGATTGGCTATTTTTTTCCCAGTTTAATTCCCTCAATGCATTGGCTGTGCCTTTGAAATTTGTACCGTTGTCGCTATACATACATCTAGGTCGTCCACGTCTAGCAATGAATCTACGAAAACACTCTACAAATTCGTCCGTTGACAACGAGGATGACAGCTCGAAGTGTACCGCCCTGTATACCGCGCACGTGAAAATGACAATCCACGCCTTTTCCCCACCACGTAAGAAAAGCGGGCCAGCAAAATCGACACCTGTTATCTCAAAGATAGCCGCGTCACGTACTCTGTTCAAAGGTAGAGGGGGGGCTTTACATTCCATGTGCTTTGCTTTCTGTCTCTGACAGACAACACATTTGGCAATAATTGATTTTACTAACCTTCGAGACGATATTATCCAAAATTTTTCGCGTAGCGAACTTATAACAATCAAACTTCCCGCATGACCCAACCTTTTGTGTATTTCTCGTATAAGCATTCGTACAACTTCATGCTTATTATCTAAAATAATTGGACTAAGAAAATTCAAATGATCCTCGCGATGAAAAATTTTTGTTTTCACGACCAATAAACCGTTTTCGTTCAAATGTGTTCTAAATGATGTTAATTTATTTTTGGCTTGTTTAGAATTAAACATAGAGTTCTGTAAACCCTGTAATAATCGTATTTCTGCTCTTTCTATTTCATTTTCTGATAATCGTCTATCTAATCGTTGAATACTCGTTCCCTGACTATTGTGAGATTGTTTTTTGTCCTGAACTTGCGCTCTACAATTCTCTAAAAATCTTAAACTCCACGCGATAAAACGCACGAGTTTCGTATAAGATTCAAAACGAGTACTAAAATCGAATAATTGCTGATCTATATTTACCATGTGTATTGTGGCAGATTTTTTCACTTCTCTTCGTATCTCTTCTTCGTCAATTTTTTCCTGAAATGCCGGCCACTCAGAGCTTTGTTTATATAACCATCTCGGACCAAGCCACCACTTAGATTCTAATAATTGCTCGGGAGAGCAACCACGTGATGGAAGATCTGCGGGATTTAAATTCCCAGGCACATGTTTCCAATCATCTATTCTCGAAAGGGTTCTAATTTCTTTTACTCTATTATGAACAAATATACCCCATTGCATATCCCGCTCTATCCAAGCTAAAACTGTAGAAGAATCAGTCCAATAAACAATCTGATCAATTTCACGAGTCAAGGATTTCTTAGTCGCATCCGTCAATCTAGCGCCAATCGTGGCTGCCATCAGTTCCAATCGTGGAATAGTAGCACCCCTTGGCGCTATGCGAGACCTAGCGTTTAACAATTGCACATGTACTGTACCTATATACTCCACCCTCGCGAAAACCGTCGCAGCATACGCCGAACCGCTAGCGTCACAAAACATGTGAATAGTCAAAATTCCCTTGCCGATTTTACGTGGTATTTCTATATTTTTTATTAATGGAAGATCTTTTAACCACGAAATAAAAACATCCCTGCGTTTATCTTTTATCACTGTGTCCCAATCAATTTTTTCTGACCATAATTCCTGTAATAATAATTTAGGTAGCAAAGTCACTGGGGAGGAGAAACCAATAGGGTCAAAAATCCTATGCGACGCCGACAACATCTCTCTCTTCGTGACATTTTCTGAACTTTCCACAGGTACAAGTGCAGGATTAATTGAGATAACATCTCTTCTTTTATTCCACAAGAGACCTAATACTAAGGATGTTTCATTCGCGGAAGAATCACCCGTACTTTCCCAACCACGCAAATCAAATTTTCCGCTTGTCATAATCGACCTTGCTTCTCTTTCGAATTTTTCTCTCTCTAGTTCTGACTCAACGCTTGTAACGCAATTGTCAACATAAAAGGAACTTTGTAATTTTTCTACAGTTTTAATCGACCAACAGGCTTCATTATCTGCTTTCGCCCTTTCTAATGCCCTTATCAAAACTAAATTGATAACAGCTGCTAGTAAAAAGGGACTACATATCAAGCCAAATACCACTCTACAATGACGAAACGTAATCAGCTGTCCGTCCTTGACCCATAAAAACCTCAAGTAATCTCGATCAGACTGATTGATCCCTATTTGTAAAAAGGCCTTTTTAATATCCGACACAACACCAATCTCAAATTCGCGAAACCGATTCAAAGCGGAAGGAACCAATTCAATCAGATTGGGTCCTTTTTCGAGACATTGGTTCAAAGAAGGACTATCCTTTTCATGTGAAGATGCGTCAAAAACTGGTCTTATCTTTGTTGTACTATGTTCTTTAATCACCGGTCGATGAGGTAAATAATGATTATTTGGATTTTTATTTTCAGTTTTCGAGACGATCTCAATAATTCCCTCTGACAACCATTCCTGAATTACTTTATCATAATCATGTAACAGATTTTGACATTTAAGTTTTTCTATTGTTTTCATTAATCGAATACGCGAAATCTCATAATTGCTAGAAACAATTGCATGATTCTCTTTAAAAGGTAAACAGACCTCGTATCGATCATCTACTGTCAACTGTGCTGTGCCCATTATTAATTCTTGAGTTCTTTTGTCGCAAATTGCTTTATCAATTTTTTCAATAGGATCCGTTATACCGATTATATCTAATTCCCATAAATCGGTCAGACTAGCCTCTTTCACGAAAATCGTATTTACCAACATTGTCGCATCTTTTCGTCTCGAATTATTAGGTAATTTCCCCATTATCGTCCATCCCAAACAAGTTTCAAACGCGGTTAAACCATTTTTCAGATCAAACTTATTTCCAGTCAAAAGTTTCCCGGCCACATCTGCACCGATAAGTACATCTATAGGGTTATTATCAGTTCCAATATCGGATAAACAAATTTTATTATCATACAAATTTTTTACCCAATCATCACTTCTAACTCCCGGTATGGAGTCGCAAATCGTATCTTGATCCATTACTGTAAAATTACATGCATACGAGTTGTCGATACTTTTCATATGAATCAAATACACGTCATGAGTTTCACATTGTGATTTTACCCCACCGAAAAGTGAATGAATTACTTCTTGTTTACCCTTTTTTATATAGCCTATCTCTTTCGCAACACTTGTTCGAATATACGATCGTTGTGATGCCGAATCTATCAAAACTCTAATAATTTTTTCTTTAGACTGAGAATATAATTTAACTTTCAATGTTTGTAAATATACTTCTGGTGAATCACTAAAATTAGTTAAATTATTTTCGTGTATAGTTTTCTCTTTATCGTTTGTTTTGCAATCCGAAGAATCTTTTGAATTAAAACTTGAACACATTAAAAGAACGTGTCTGCGAGAACACCATTCGCATTTAATTCTAACTTTACATGTCCTTGATATATGACCCTTTTTCAAACAATAGAAACATGCGTTCTCCTTCTTAACTATTTCCCGCCTTTGACTCAAATCTAATTTACGCGCCATTTCACACTCTCTACTATCATGCGATTGCGTACAAAAAATACAATATACCGATTTCTCTACATTTTTCGAAACCAAAAGAGCATTTGCAGTCGGAATATCACATTTAGATTCTACTTTACCTTTGCATTTTTTTGTTGTTACCTGGTCCATCGAAGCACCAAATCCTGCCAACACCATCTCAATTCGTTCCTCGTCCTCCACTTCTCGCTGTAGAAATTTTAAAAGTCGTTGTAGCCTATTATTTTGTTCCTCAGGGCCATCTGTAGCATCACCTTCCCGTACTCCGTTACGTTGCCATGCACGAAGCACTTCCTCAGGCAGTGATGATTCCACAAGAGGATACAACATCGCTGCACACTTGTCCGTTGTCACACCAAGCGTTTCTAAAGCACGAATATACGATTCCAACTTATCATAAATCGTTGACAACAACAATTTTTTATCATGTTTAGCAGCATTCTGCAACACTAGTCCAAGCAATTCCAGCACATAAAATTCTACCACAACTTCGTCACGGCCAAATCTATTTTTCAAACTTTTTATGGCCTTGTCATAATTTTCGGCTGTGGAAGGAAAACTACGCACTAAATCTCCTGCGCGGGAACCGGAAACCGACGCTTGAAGAAGATACTGAAACTTGTCCTCTCCACTAATCGAGTCGTCATTATGTATTTTCCTGAACTGTGTCCAAAATGGCAGCCATTCCTTTATGTGACCATTGAACTTTGGCAACTCAATTTTGGGTAAATTCAAATTTCTCTGGACAGTCATTACTGCTGGAGCAAACGAAGGCTGCTGTGATTGTACTTCTGGTGCTATCAATGTCGAGATCTTCAACTTCCCCAATAGAAATTGCTTTTTATAGAAATCGTTACCTTCTAATTCATTCGTTATTTCCTGTTCGTCTTCCTCTATTTCAAAGAGTTCTTCCATATATTTGTGATGTATTGTGTCCAACTCCGTCATTTTATTTTCTAACATCTGAAAAGCAACTATTTTATTCTCCTTCGAACCCTGTCCATCCAATTCTGCCATAAATGCATTATAAGTCCTAGTGAACAGTGCTCTTTGAGTTTTTCTTTGCTTTTTCAGAGTCTCCATTTTGCTTTTCAAAATCACAAGCACTCGACGCCTCGTGGCACACTTCACAAAACTCTTTTTCTTTTCTTAATTATCACTCACCACACGTCCTGTCACGGTCGCCAAAATGTTATTATTCGGACTGGGTTGAGTAAAAATAATTTAGAATTACTTGTCAAACAGAAACTATTTATTAAACTTTTATAAAATTTAAATGAATATCACTCCACATAAACATCATTCAAATTACATCTGTGCGGTCAAACATTTCGCACGCGTCTGTCTATACCTTCGCCTTCGTCTTATCATCCAAAAAATCCCCACTACTAAACACACTCATTCCTTACTCTTATCGGGACCCTTAACTCTATCTGTCGGTAAAATTATAAAACCAATGGCCACGACATCTGTCGTGTACCATTCGAATAAAAGAGATAAAAGATATTTCTGTCTCTTTTACTCCAATGGTACACGATGCAAGTATACTCGGGATCAGTGAGGTAAACAAGCGCCTTTACATATATATATATTCTTCCTATATATATTTTTTTCAGTCTTTTTTCAACTTTTATTGCAAATAATTTTATTCAAGTTTTCAGAAAAAATAAAAACAATTTATTTCAATTCAGTAATTATTATTAGGGGTGAAATAAACAAAAAATTGAATTTTGCTCAGATGTATTTTCAAACTAAACCATATAGTTATAAGTTAAGTTTTAGGGGGTGGATTCCAAGACAGTTCATCACACTAATTTTTTTGATTAAATAGGATTTGGCTGTACTTTTGTGAATTCATTACTTTAGTAGTGAATAACAAATACTATTCAAAATTTTAAAAATTAATAACATTTTGAAAATTTTTTTACTTTTTTTTACACGGAGAAACTTTAGTTTGTAAAATTTGACATTATAATAATTATTTTTACAAAAAACCAATAGTAAGAGAGGATGAAGTGATAAAAATGACATTATTTTTTACTACTGTATTACAAAATAAATTTATCAGTATCATTTAAAAGTATAGTATATTATTAATAATTACAATAAGGAGTTGGAATGATTAGTAAAAGCTATATGAATTGTAAATTAGGAAACTGAGATATTCACAGAAAGAATTTTGACTAGAATAATTATGAAAAGTAAGAGTTGAAATTTCACATATTACACTCTGTTTTAAAAATATTACTATTTTTATTCGAAAGAAGCAGAGGTTTTAAAAATATTGCTCAACTTAAAATTGGTTATTGTAACATCTAAAATTGTTTTTTAAAAACATTCCCATTGAAAATAGGAATTTTATTTCTTAGTAGCATTCGATTGGTCGAACTTTACCGATGATGTACGAAAAATATCCGGTTATTGCCGAGTATAACCGATTGGGTTTTATCACGTAATAGTAATATTATCAATATACAGGGTGTTCCAAAAGTATGGAAACTTGCAAATATCTCGAAAAGTACGAATTTTTGTAAAAAATGTTCAAGACAAAAGTTGTTCCAAACAAAAAGATGTACATCTTTGAAACCAAAAAATTGGGCCCGGAGCCCAATGTTGGGCCCTACAATGAAAAAAGTAGTTTTCTTAAATGAGACCACTAATTTTCAGTATCAAATTCGTAATGTGGTATAAGTGCCCAAAATATTGGGCCCAATCCAAGATATTGGGTCCAAAATTTATCAACAGATAAATAAATTTTAAAAAATCGCATCTTGGAGGGATTTTGAGATCACAGGATTAGAAATTGGAAGCTAATTTTCAAATTGGGCATAGAGCCCAATGTAAGATTCCTTACCCAATGTGTAAGCCCAATATTTTTGGAATTTGTACCACAAGTCTAAGCCCAGAATTTCAGAACGATTACGAAATGGAAGGAAACTAATTTTTTTACTGTAGACCTCACATTGGGCTGCGGAATCTTACATTGGGCTCTGTGCCCAATTTGAAAAATAAGTTTGAATTTCTAATCCTGTGACCCCAAAAACTCCAAAAGATGCAATTTTATAAATTTATTTATTTGTCAAAAAATGTTGAGCCCAATCCCAGACATTGGGCCCAATATTTTTTGGCTTCTGTACTACAAATTTAAACCCAGAATTTCATAACGATTCTGAAATGGATACTGAAAATTAGTGGGTTTTGTTTAAAGAACTAATTTTTTTTAATGTGGGCCTCACATTGGGCCGCGGAATCTTACATTGAGCTTTGTGTACAATTTGAAAATTAGCTTCGAATTTCTAATCCTGTGACCCCAAAAACTCCTAAAGATACGATTTTTTAAATTTATTTATTTAACGAAAAATGTTGGGCTTAATCCCAGACATTGGGCCCAATATTTTTGTCATTTTTACTACAAGTCTAAACCCAGAAATTCATGGGGATTACGAATTAGATACTGAAAATTAATGGGTTTTATTTAAGACAACTAATTTTTTTTTACTGTGGGCCTCACATTGGGTGGCGGAATCTTACATTGGGCTCTATGCTCAATTTGAAAATTAGCTTCCAATTTTTAATCCTATGATCTCAAAATCCAAGATGCGATTTTTTAAAATTTATTTATCTGTTGATAAATTTTGGACCCAATATCTTGGATTGGGCCAAATATTTTGGGCACTTATACCACATGTCTGAACGCAGAATTTCATGGGGATTACGAATTTGACACTGAAAATTAGTGGTCTCATTTAAGAAAACCACTTTTTCATTGTAGGGCCCAACATTGGGCTCCGGGCCCAATTTTTTGGTTTCAAAGATGTACATCTTTTTGTTTGGAACAACTTTTCTCTTGAACATTTTTTACAAAAATTCGTACTTTTCGAGATATTTGAAAGTTTCCATACTTTTGGAATACCCTGTATATGTATTAAGTATATAGTTTGCAAATATGAGAAATTACTATTTTGAACATTTCATTCAATATTTAGATTTAACAAATTAGATTAATTTAAATAATAATTAAATCAAATGTATAATTTTGTATAAAAAAATTGTTTTTAAATATGTGTTTATTATTATTTTGTGTTTTATTGAAAAAATAATTTATTTATTTTAAGTGTTTCATAAAAATTTCTGAAAATCAAATATTGAAAAATTTTAATAAAAAATCAAAACAAAAAGTAGTTTAAAAAAAAGTATATATCAAGTAATCATTGTAAAAAAGTAATTCTTCGAATTTTTTTATTATATATATTTAAAATAATAACTTTTTAAAATATCTAAATTTTTTAAATTATTGTTAAAATTTTAAAGAAATTTTCCAAATTTTTAATTAAAATTATTCAAAAAGTTAAACAGTGAAGGAAACACAAAATGAAATTTACTGAATAATATTAAATTTTGAGAATTTAATTCAAATTTTACTTTATTTATATTAATAATTTATATTTTAATTAATAAATTTAAATAAATTTAAAAATATTAAATTAGATTTACACAGGTATATAACATATATTTGTAGTAATTCTCTCGCAAGCAGCAGTACTTTCCGTTGTTTAGTGTATAAAGAAGTTCCCTTTTTTCTCAAGCATGTATTGCGACGATTATATGAATGTGTGTATTGTTAGAATAAGTTCTTTATATTAGTATTGTATTAAAAGCGTGCGTTTCTCAAGAATATGTAATATGTGTGAATACAATATGTTTACTGTAATATTTGAAGGTGCAACTTCGAACATTTAATATCGACTATGGTAAAATTTAGTATAGTAGTAATTTTTTTCTATTATTGTGGAGGGTTTTTTAACTTTTATGTCAATATTCCCAAAACACTATAGTAATTTTATTTCCACACGGGATGGATATTTACCATAGTTCTTGTACATTTCATAATTCTTTTTCAGTTATTAATATATTTATAAACATGTTTTCAACGGTTCACTAACTTCAGTTTCCTATTTTTTTATTAACTACTGTTTAGAAATATAAATTCATAATTATTATATTACTCTTTCCAAATTAAGAATACTCACTCAGTATAATATTTAAATAGTAATTTGCACAAAGGTAACGCTATATCTTCATTGACTATTGGCTTTTTGTATTTAGTATTCGAGATTTTAAAAGGAAAATTGCCGTCGCTGGAAAATTTTTTTTTCGACTGTTTACAGTATACTAAAGTAATGAATTCACAAAAGTACATCCAAATCCCATTTAACAAAAAAAATTAGTGTGAGGTTGGTTCTACAATAGGCAAAATCGTATCGTCTTGAAGACGATTTTCATGCCAAAACGATGCGCGCGCATGCTTTTTCTATTGTCGCCAATCGTTTCGTTTTGAAAATCGTCTTCAGGACGGTACGATTTTGTCTATTGTGGAACCAACCTGATGAATTGATGTGGAATCCACCAAGTCGTTTCGATATCTCGAATATCGTAAAACCACCTTTACATCTAACCCAGGACATGAAAAGCTGTGACCGTACCTTAATTTATTCACGTTCTTCATGACATACGCAACGCAACCGAGTTTTCCGTCTATTGTACGTTAACTTTACGGCTTCCAGAACACATGGAGACGACTGTTTAGATTGCTCCAAGTTATTTGTAAATAATTTACTTCAAAACTATTAAGTCTTTGCGTTTTTTAAAAACACAAGACACAAATATTTCTACTATAATTCGCCAATTATTTGGAATCAATGTTATACTGTAAAAGTAGCTGTTTTTTCAAAATTGTAAGTATAAAATATAAATTGGTACCGGTTTGTAAAATGTCCACATATTATTAGGTTATTACGAAAAAAATAAGTTAGAAAAAATAAACAAATTTCTAGTAAAACTACGATTCTATTTATTAAACTTTTAATATTTATGACGTTAAATGATATTTCTTTATAATATACTTAATACGACATATAGAAATACAATTTATTACCTATTATTTTATTTTTTATTCTCCTTAAAATGTTCTTACATTAAATTCGCAATTTGTTATTCTCTTTGACGTTGATTTATATTTTACACAGTATTCTCAGGAAAAAATTCCTTTTTTCTGAAATTTTAAAAATTGAACAAATTTACAGAAAAAGTGAACTATGCATAAAAAGTTTTGAAAATTTTTGCTTCCAGTAGGAATAATAAATTATTACGGGACGCATGATTATCCCATAAAAATCATTAGTTACAATTTTGATTTTAAAGAATTCTATTACATAGAATTATTTTTTGACAAATTTTCATTTTTCGAATTAGCGTTTGAAAAAATTCAATTTAAAATGAATTTTACTTTACAGAATTTTTAGATACCAAATTTTTATTTCGTGGAATTCTTATTTTACAAAATTTCCCTTTAGATAACTTTTTATTTTAAAAAAGTCTAACTTAACAGCATTTTAATTTAGTAGAATTGTCATTTAATAGAATTTTTGAATGCTAGAATTTCCTATTCACAGAACAAAATTCGAACAAATGAAGTTCAAAAATCGCGCCGAAATCTTTCTGTTGATTGTTTGTACGGCCATTTGCAATTTCAGAGAAATGATTTTTCGGTTAAGTAAAAATTGTGTAGTATGAAAAATCGGTTATATGGAAATTATATCAAATAATAATTGGAACAAATGAAAATTCATCTGAAACAATATTCTATGCAATGAAATTCTACCTAATAAAAATTTTTTAAAATGCCTATTATGTTAAATAAAAATTCGAACGAATAAAAATTCTCTGAAGTGAATTTTCGATTATATAAAAATTCTTTAATATAGAAAATCGTTTTGATGAAAATTCTGCAAAATAAAAATTCGGCTCAAAAATAATTATGACAAATGAAATTCCATGAAATGAAAATTCTAACTAATGATTTTTAGAACATAATCATGTGTTCCCAAAAATCTCAAGTAAACTCTGAGAGAATTTTATAAGGTTTTTCGCTCAAGATTGATTTGAAGCAAAATATTCAGGGTGTCCAGCCACCTTGAAAACCTTGAATTCTCCTTGAATTTTATTTTGCCTTGAAAACCTTGAAATCTTCTTGAATTTTATAGCAAAACCTTGAATTGTTAAAATTTTCGAAAATGATATTGATTTTTTGTTGTGGACAATTTAATGAATTAAATTTTTTGCATAAGAAAAAGGATTAATGAGTGATGAAATAAAAGAAAGTGCTATAGATTAGACGAAGAAATTGCTTTGTTAAAACGTTTTTAAATGTTAAGAAAATTTGTTTCTTTAAATTTTATAATACTTTAATCTTTTAATTTAGTTTTATCAGATTTTTTTAAATTAATGAACATTACAAGAAAAATGTGCATTTCGTTAATTATTAATGTAATTATTTAAAATTAAAGTAGACTATGACTAAATTCCATGAAATTATGGAATATGGCAGCCATGAACACCTATCAGAAAACTTTTATATTTTCAACATTTTCAATAATATACACAATTTAGTATTATACTATTCAATAAAGTAGGCTTTATTGTTTTAAATAAATATTTAGTTACCCATTTATTATTTGTTTATAATTAATATTCCTTAAATCTGTATTACCAGCAATATTTTCATTGCTTGCGGGTATTCCTGAGATTTTTAAATACGTTCACTGCGCAACTCTTAGCAAAGACATAACCTAACTTTTTTGTTGACGTTACCGGTCACTCAGATCATTGTGTCAGCGCAGCCTGATTTTCTGCAGTTATACCCGCACTGGAATTGGTGTTTCGTTAGTAATTGCCACACAGGAATACCGACATCTCAACAGCAATACCCTCATTTACAATTATTTTTTAATTGATATTTTTAAATGCGGGGAGTGCCCAATAAACCTAACTTTAATTTATTAGCAAAATTTAATAATAAAACTTTCATTTGTAATTGAAATAACGACATTTGGTTTAAATATGAGCTCAGACAAGCTTTGCAAAGTTAATCTACACTGAAAATCAGCAGAATTACCCACAGTTACCCTATTTATATATAAATATTCTATGTGCAAATCATATCACAATTATTTTAATTTTTTTACTTATTAATATTGCATTGAAGGGGTAGTCTGGTGTTAAGGCCTTTTTTGGGATCTTATTTAAGGATTCTTTTTTATTATAAAATAAAAAATAATCACACCAAATCTTTTTACTTCGTTTTATTCTCATCATAAAGTGTTGAAAAAAATTATAATCGATTATTATTTACTATACTAGCAAAAATAAACACGCGCAAGCGCGCGAAATTAGGAATGTAATTGTTTATTATAAAGAAATTAAAATTAATATTATCAATAATATTATTACATTGTTAATAATAATAATAAAAATTATATTTTTATATAATTATTATTTAATAGAATTGAGACGAAGCTAAAGTACGCAACATTTATCAATAAAAACATTTTTTTAAAAAAGTTAAATATTACGTCTAAATTACATATATTTAACATAGGCGGAATAGTTATTTGAAGAATGCTTTAATATGTAATTTAGGCTTAATATACAACTTTAAAAAAAAATTTCTTGGTAAACGTTGTGTACTTCAGCTTCTTGAATTAAATTCTATTTAAATATTTAATATAATCAATTTTTTTTATTTAATTTAATTTTTTTTTCTGAATCATATTCTTTCTCTTCTATTTTATTTATTTTTTTAACTCTCTCAATACCCTTGCGCAAATATTCATTGTCCACATTTTTTTCCAGTTTTTTAATGTCGCTGACATCGTTGATCGAAATATAAGGAGGATCTGTAGAAAAACAACTTTATTTTTAATCAAAATTTTACAGATATAAATATATGAATTCAATTATTTTTTTATAAATCCATAATTTTTCATACATGATATCGAGGAAGTTATTTTATCAAATATTCTAAAAAATTTAATTTTTAAAAACTTTAAAAAAATAAATTTTTTTATAATAATTTTTATTTATTAAGTTTTATTACATTAAAGGTAGAAAAATGATTTTATCTTAATAATTAATAATCTGATTGAAAATTTTTAAGTCTTATTGTATGTCTGGCAGAATGTTTATTAAGTAAAATAATTTTATTATTTTGGAACAAAAAAAATCGTCTAAAATCATGCACGCGTGATTTGCTTTTTTTAAAAAATTAATAAAAATTTATATTTAAATATCTGTCGATAATTTTTCAGAAATTCTTTAAGAACATTTTCGATTTAAAATTTAAAATGATAATTTTTAATATAACATATATCGGTAAAGGTCTTGTAAAAATTTCTTATCATCAAAATATTTATCATTAAATAAAATTTTTTATTTTTTATTATATAATAATAAATAATAATAATTATTATTAATAAATTTAAATTAATAAATAAATAATTTATAAATTATTTAATTTAAATTTAATATTTAATTATCGTGGTTAATTAAATAAATTTTTGAAATTTGATAAAATTATTATATAGGGGAAAGGTGGGTAAGTTCGCGCGGCGGATAAGTTCGTTTTTCTTAATAACTTTTTTAAAAATAAATATTACGTATAACCGTTTTTAAGAATGGAGTATTGTATGGTAACGATGGTGTCTAAAAAGTTTTGTTGTAATCGGTTTGTTATTAACAAAAATATTAAACAAGTATGAAAAAGTTGCTTCTAATTGTAAATTTTTTGAATTTTGAATTTTAGAAAAACGTATTTATTATCCATAGAAATTGGTAATTTTTTTTTATTATAATTCTGGAACATTACACTTTATGAAAATCATGTTTTGAAAATTAAAAATAAGTTGTAAAATTAAATAAGTAATAAAATGTTTAAACTATTAATGTCGGCTAAGTTCGTGCGGTTAAGTTCGTCAAATCACAAGTCGCGCAAGCAAGATACGTAAGTTAGGTACGGGACATGCGCAATTGCTCAGAATGTATATAGAGATATGCAGCAGAAGACAAACTGATAGATTTCTACAAATGCAGGAAATTATTTTATAATAATTTAATTTAATGCTGCAATAACTAGTATGTTTTTATTTATACTTTATTATTTAAATTTTTGTTTCGCTTTTAATTTTCATTTATTGTAGCAGAATCAAGAAAATTACTATTATGCATAACCTCAATTATATACATACAATACCTATCTAAAATGTAATATTTTAAAGTTTTAAAAGATTTTATACCGAATAGAAAAATTTTAAATCTGATTTTTAATCGGGTTTCAGAATAGATGATTGTTAAATCTGATTTTTCGTCCAATACTAAAAATGTTATTTACACATTGTTAAATATCAATAAATAAATTATCTTTTTCACTGTCCTTCGCATTCATTCTTCCTTTCATGTCTAAAAATTTTTTAATAGAAAAAATGCGTAATTCAATAAATTTATAATAACAAATAATTATTTGAATATTTTGAGAAAGAAAAACATTAAAAATAAGCGCGCACAAAGCGCGCATGCGCATTTGTCTCTGAGAGTTACGTCCTTTACGTAGCTACTTTCTCCTCCTTTAAAAACTAGTTTTGATTGAAAAATTAAATTTGACGAAAAAAATGTATATTTCATTATAATACAGTATTAATTTTTAAGACATTCATAAGATTATTGATTAATAAAAACAAATACAAAAAAATTTGACACATTTACTTCAATTTATTCCTACTTTTTGGAAGAAACAGACTTACCCTCCTCCGTAGTCGAACTTACCCGCACCTCAGGTCAATTCTTCATTTTTACCATCGATATTTTAATTACAATTTATTTAATATTTTCATTAAAAGACAAT